GCAAAGGAAACCATAAACAATACGAAAGGACAACCCTCAGCATGGGAGAAAATATTTGCAAATGAAGCAACTGACAAAGGATTAATCTCCAAAATTTATAAGCAGCTCATGCAGCTCAATAACAAAAAAACAAACAACCCAATCTAAGAATGGGCAGAAGACCTAAACAGACATTTCTCCAAAGAAGATATACAGACTGCCAAGAAACACATGAAAGAATGCTCAACATCATTAATCATTAGAGAAATGCAAACCAAAACTACAATGAGATATCATCTCACACTAGTCAGAATGGCCATCATCAAAAAATCTAGAAACAATAAATGCTGGAGAGGTTGTGGAGAAAAGGGAACACTCTTGCACTGCTGGTGGGAATGTGAATTGGTTCAGCCACTATGGAGAACAGTATGGAGGTTCCTTAAAAAACTACAAATAGAACTACCATATGACCCAGCAATCCCACTACTGGGCATATACCCTGAGAAACCATAATTCAAAAATAGTCATGTACCAAAATGTTCATTGCAGCTCTATTTACAATAGCCCGGAGATGCAAACAACCTAAATGTCCATCGATAGAGGAATGGATAAAGAAGATGTGGCACATATATACAATGGAATATTACTCAGCCATAAAAAGAAATGAAATTGAGCTATTTGTAATGAGGTGGATAGACCTAGAGTTTGTCATACAGAGTGAAGTAAGTCAAAAAGAGAAAGACAAATACCGTATGCTAACACATATATATGGAATTTAAGAAAAAAAATGTCATGAAGAACCTAGTGGTAAGATAGGAATAAAGATAGAGAATGGACTTGAGGATATGGGGAGGGGGAAGGGTGAGCTGTGACAAAGCCAGAGAGTGGCATGGACATATATACACAAATGTAAGGTAGATAGCTAGTGGGAAGCAGCCGCATAGCACAGGGTGATCAGCTCGGTGCTTTGTGACCACCTAGAGGGGTGGGATAGGGAGGGTGGGAGGGAGGGAGTCGCAAGAGGGAAGAGATATGGGAACATATGTATATGTATAACTGATTCACTTTGTTATAAAGCAGAAACTAGCACACCATTGTAAAGCAATTATACTCCAATAAAGATGTTAAAAAAAAATTCAAAAGAAAAAAATAAAGTGGAAACGGGTGAATGCAGGTCAAGTCAGCGCGTGTTTACTGGTTGGCCTCCTTGGGCTCAGCTGTGTCTGGCACCAGGCGGCTGTGTAGTGAGCATGACTGTCTCTGCCCTGAAGACCCCAGTTAGTGAACATCCAGACGCCCTCAGTCCCGGTCTGCTGCCCCCCTGCCCCCCTTCATCTGGGTCTCAAGCTCCCGCGCTGACCTCAGTTGCACCTTCCTCCCCCACCTCCTTCAATTTTAATTTTTTTTTTTTAATTTTTTTTAACTTGGAAGCCGTGTCACGACGGTGCCCCTCAGTAGTGAGAAACTCAGTCACCACTTCAGCAGTGGGATCCACTTGTCATGCCTGAGCTGAGGCTGGACAGGATAGAAACACAGGACGCGGAGGAGGAGACGGCTCAGGGGCTGGGCCTCGGGGCAGGCAGAGGGGAGGCGGGGAGAGAGAGGAGGAGGTCACGGCAAGAGGAGGTGAGTCCAGGGGCTCCCAGGGTCACCTCCTGTCACTTCCTGCTGCTCCCGCCTCAACACGGGAGCCTGAATCCCACGCTGCATCACACCTGCAGGCCCTCACATGACTGGGCCTCCAGCAGGAGCCCCTCTCCTCTACTCACCAGCAGCAATGCCCTCACCCTTCAAGACCCTGCTCTTCCGAGGGCCTGTCCCTGGCCCTGCCTGCCCGGGGCACCCGTCCCACTGTGACCCACTCACCCGTTCTGCATTCACCTCTCCTGGTTGTCACGGCCTGAGAATGACCTGATGCCCCGGGACATGGTCTGCTTCTCAGGACCAGCTGAGAGACCAGCAGACCTTGGTTATAAGCTCTAAGTCTGCGTGACCCTGGGCGAGTCCCTTATGCCCTGGGAGCCTCCGTCTCTCACTGTAAAGGGGTCTGGCAGTGGCCGCCCCACAGCGACAGTCAGCTGCTGGACCTGCCAGAGGAGAAGCAGGGCCGGGGGCCTGTGGCTCTGACCTTCAGGGCTGACCCTTGAAGCGGGCCTCGGCATGGCCAGGGTTTGCAGAAAGCCTGGGTGCAGCGATGCATGAGGGGTGGGAGAAGGGCAGAGGTTAGGGGGCTAGCAGGACCTGGGAGGGGGTCCTGTTACTAGTTCTCCATTACAGACGAGGACACTGAGGCACAGGGAGGGCAGTGGCTGCCCAAGGTCACAGAGCAGGGTCTCTTTGAGTTTTCCTGGAGGCCCTGTTACTCTGTTACAACCAAGGACACTGAGGCGCATAGAAGGAGCAGGGAAGCCCTGCTATCACCCAGGCCCCACTGCCTGTGTCCTTCACGACCGGCTTTATGCTGCCAGCAGGGCTGCAGGCCTGGAGTGGACGCGGAAGGCAGTTCACTGCAGCATTATTTACAATAACCAAGATATGGATGTAACCGAGCAGGACGCTATGGGGCCTTCCCGGGACAGACCCCTCCCCCATATTCTCTGCTGTAGCTCCTCTCTGAAGTAGCCAGATAATAGTATCTCACGCATGTTTCCTGAGTTTTTCAGATGCTAAAACCCCCACCACGTGGAAAAAATTAACTACTTGATGATCATGAGCTCCCAGGCCTACTGGCACCTAAGGACTGATAAAGTTAACCCCTGTGACACCTCACCATCGACCAATCAGAGAATCGTGTACAAGCTGATCACACACCCTGTGACCCCCCCCTCCCTCACCTGGCCTTTAAAAATGCTTTGCTGAAACGCTTTGGGGAGTTCGGGATTTGGGGGTCATGAGCCACTCGTCTCCTTGCTGGCCCTACAATAAACCTTTCTCTGCTTCACTCTGGTGTTTGTTTGGCTTCACTGTGCATCGGGCACATGGACTTGTGTTCAGTAACATGGAAACAACCTAGGTGTCCATCGACACGTGAATGGGTGAAGAAAATGTGACATATATATATATATATATAAAAATTATATATATAATGGAATCTTATTCAGCCATAAAAAAGAAGGAAATCTTGCCATTTGCAACAAGGATGGACCTTGAGGGCATTTTGCTAAGTGAAATAAGTCAGACAGAGAAAGATACTTACAACCTCACTCACAGAGTTGAAAAAATAAACCAAACTCATAGAAACAGAGAACAGGATGGCCATTACCAGAGGCTGGGTGTTGAGGGGGCTGGTGAAATGGGCGAAGAGGGTCAAAAGGCACAAACTTCCAGCTGTAAGATACACAGGCCCTGGGGATGTATGTACAGCAAAGTGACTGTGGTCAACATCACTGTGCTGTGTATGTGAAAGTTGCTAAGAGAGAAGATCTTCAAAGTTCTCATCACAAGAAAAACAATCTGTAGCTGTGTGTGGTGGTGATGGTAACCAAACTTACTGTGGTGATCATTTCATAATATGTACCTATATCAAATCATGATGCTGGACGCCTAAAACTAACGGTGTTATGTGACGATCATACCCAATATCTATATCTCAGCAATCAGGGGTGAGAGCGTGGACAACCTGTTGCCGAAGCTGCGTTTGCTCTACAACAGCAGAGGGCTGGGAAATAATTTTTGGGAAAAGTGTGCCGACCCTGGCCCGGAAGACAGTGGTTTAGCAGCAACAACAGCGTGCCTGGGTGCACGCTCAGCCCAGCCAGCCCCTGTGCTCTACCTGTCATCCCATTTAATCCCCTCCCCACCCTAAGAGGGAGAGACTTCAATATTCCCATTTTACAGATGAGAAAACGGAGGCCCAAGTGTTGGAGCCAGCTTTGAACCCGTGTTGTGATTTCAAAGTCACATCTCAACCCAGATTTCTAGAAGGTGGGGGTCCAGGCACTGGGGACCCTCCCTCTTCCACACTTAGAGTTGTGCCCCAGGGCCCACCATCCCAGAGGCTGCTGGATGAACACATTGAATCCACTTATTCTGCACCCACTCAGCGCTTGGCTGCTGCTCTCCTGCTGCTGCTGACACTTCAGCCGGCTGAGGCTGTACAGGTTACTCGTCACCACCTGCCCATCCTGCCCTCCTGTGGGGCAGGGCCCTCCTTGCCTCGTTATTCTAAATCTTTAGCTCAAAAAATCTGAAGAACTGCATTAAAAGAGCCCTGCTCGCCTGTGTGGAGGCCTTGACAAGGGGAAGGGAGGGGAAGTTTTGGGGTGGCCTCTTATACTGAAGGGACATGAAAAGGGACACTATTTATGTCCCTAATGGGACTCAATGTGAAGCTAAGAGCTTTGTCCCATAGAGAAATAAAAGCCCCCCACCCTTCACCTGTGAAAGCAGCTCAAGCGCTATGGTACCCTGTCTGCCTGTCTGGCCCGTCCATATTTGGTCTGTGAACACCTCCGGGGCAGGCCTCTGCCTTCTCCTCTCTGTGCCCCCTGAGCCTGCACACCGTGGGCCTTCAGAGCCTCAGGGACCTCACCCCACCCCGACCATGGCCAGAAGCCTCCAGCCATCAAAATGCCTGTGGAGTCACTTTGGCCCAAGCACTGCTGGGTACCTTAGCCCCGTCTAAAGAACAAGCCATACCATGTGGCTTCCCCAGAGTTCAAGCAGCGGGATCTGGGGGTTCTGTCTGGCTCCACACTTCCTCACTGTAGCCCAGTTACCTCCCTTCTCTGAGCCCCAGTCTTGTCCTCTAAATGGGGACATGGATTGCTACCTTAATGGGACTAATTCTGTGAGGACTGATTTGGGTGATCCTAGAATTTACAGCTGGCCCCAATAGATACCGCTTGAATCCATTCGGATCTCCAGATTAAACTGGAGCCTCCAGTGTTATCTGGAAGTTCTTCCGTGAAGCTAGACGAAACCCACACAGTTGCGGTTCCAGGGTCTCCACTTAGCCAGCTGGACAGAAAACCCAAAGTGGCTCAAACAGGCTAACAAACAAGCACGAGAGAATGACTTACGTAACTAAGTCCACAGGTGGACGGCTTACGGCAGGGCTGCACCTGGAGCTCATGGACGTCAGCAGAAACGGTCTCTCCCCGCCTCTGGGTTCTGCTTACTGGTGTCATCCTCACGCAGGCGGCTCTACCTTGATGGGAGTAAGACGGCAACCAACTGCCACAGGCTGAGGTCAAGTCCCCTCCAACTGCCCCGGACTGACCTCGCACCAGCTGCTGCGGGCTGACTTCGCGACCCCTCCAGCTACCGCGGGCTGGGCAAGCGAAACACAGCTCCTCTTCCCCAGGATTCCAGCACAAGGCCCCACCCTGGGCCCTGATTGGTCACTAGCCCACCCCTGAGCCAGTCACGGTGGCCAGGGAGGATGAAACATGCTGATTGGCTAGGTCGAGGTCATGTGACCATCCTCTCCGGAAAACTTGCTGGCTGTTCACCCTTTGTGTGGGGTGGGAGACAGGGTGATACGGAGAGAGCAAGGGTGAGGGACCAGCTGCTGCGTCCTCTGTGCTCAGTTTCCTGGGAGGTACCTGCTCACATCCTCCTCCCACGCCCCTCTGTCCTCTGTTTACAAAAGAATTCATGATGCATTTCTTCTCTTCCCAAGCCCCGCTTCACCCACCAACACCAAAAATGAGCAAGGCTTCCCTGGTGGCGCAGTAGTTAAGAATCCGCCTGCCAATGCAGGGAACACGGGTTCGAACCCTGCCGGGAAGATCCCATATGCCGCGGAGCAATTAAGCCCGTGCGCTACTGAGCCTGCGCTCTAGAGCCCGCGAGCCACAACTACTGACACCTGCGCTCCGGAGCCCGCGTGCCGCAACGACTGACACCTGCGCACCTAGAGCCCGTGCTCCGCAACAAGAGAAGCCACCGCAATGAGAAGCCAGCGCACTGCAACGAAGAGTAGCCCCCGCTCGCCCCAACTAGAGAAAGCCTGTGTGCAGCAATGAACACCCAACAGCAGCCAAAAATAAATAAATAAATTTATAAAAAAATAATAAAAAAAAAAAGAGAGGGAGGATTGGGGATCCCCTTCCAGCCTCAAGGCTTGGTTTCTGTGTCCCGTTACAATCATTTATTCAGTCAACAAACATCCACTGAGCACCTACTACATGCTGCTATGGGTTCTCAGGACTGTTAGTTGTTCTGAGTAGTGGGTATCACCCAGGAGCCTCCAAAAGGGAACAAGTTTTGTGTGATGAAGCATCTGGAGGTGAGCTTCCAGTCCCGCTCTGCCACCCACCGTGTGGCCCTGAGGAATTCCTCCTCCTTTCTGGGCTTCTGCTTTCTCATCTGAAGAGGCACTGGGGAAAATGAGTTCCTGGAGCCCCCTCAGCTCTGACATGCTGTGGTTGGGTCTTAGAACATGTCTCTCCAGCTGAGTCAGCCGATGAGCACCGTGGAAAATAGCCACAACTCTCCCATGGCAGAGCTGGGCTGAGTTGAGTCCACAATCACACAGCTGTGCATCTAAATCCCTCCCCTTCATGGCTGCTGAGAGCACCCAGGGCAGAGGAGGATCAGCTCTTTCCGTGCCTGTGAAGACCCCCAGCTCTAGGTCCCTATGAGCTTGCCCAATGCTGCTGCTGCCCCAGAAAATCTTTTGGGGCATTTGTGATTCCCAAGTTCTCCCACTTGAAGTCAAGTTTGGGGCTCTCAAAGGGAAATAGAGGGAGACCACATGGAGGGGAGGAGAGGATGGTGTGGAGGTTCCATGGAGTCCATCCATCATCCACCTCCCTCTCTGCTTCCCTTTCTCTGTCACAGATGAAATTGGTCATGGCTCCCTGGAAGAACAGAGACCCCTGATGTGTTGGTGGGGAAGGGAGGGATCCCTGTGAGGCAGGCTCAGCGGGGAGACTGTTTTCTGCTGGACGAGTCTAGTTTCTCTTCACTCTGAACATTTGGGGACGTCAATTAATACCCCTGGTCATTCTGTCACTTATTGTCAGGTCACCCTATTAATCCATTTGTTCCCTCCTTTATTTAGATCATGCTGTTTGTTTTTTTTTTTTTAAGCAAGAGGGTGATTTATGAGAAAACAGGGAACCTAAGAACAGAGAATGGATTAGCTGTCTTTCCAGAAGACTGGAGCTGCAGCTGGTGAGACATGAGACGCCAGGTCTGCTGTGTTTCTTCCACCCTCCTGGGGCCATATGTTCACTCACCTCTGCTTCCATTTGCACAGCACTAGGTCCTCCTGTCTTTAAGTCTATTGGTTTCTCTCCAGTTCCACTGCCAGGGCCCTGGTCTAAAGTACTATCCTTTGTCCCGGGAAAACTGAAATGACCTCCTAATGTTTCTCCCCACATCCACTCTGCTGTTCTCACTACAGCCAGGGTGATTTATTAAAAATGGAAAATGTACTCAGTGGTATTCCACTGCTCCTAAGATAAACATCAAAATATTAAGCCTGGGGGCTTCCCTGGTGGCGCAGCTGTTGAGAGTCCGCCTGCTGATGCAGGGGACACGGGTTCGTGCCCTGGTCCGGGAAGATCCCACATGCTGTGGAGTGGCTAGGCCCGTGAGCCATGGCCACTGAGCCTGCGCGTCCGGAGCCTGTGCTCTGCAACGGGAGAGGCCACAACAGTAAGAGGCCTGCGTACTGCAAAAACAAAAAATCTCAAGCCTGGTGTGGAACTGGATTACAATTCACCCACATTCAATGCACTTTGCTGTCGCTCTCCTCTCACTGGAGGATTATACAGCCCTGCCCTTTGTTTCTCCAGTCACGGCAAAGGGGTTGATGAACAGGGAAAGAAATGTGAGCACACGCTTCAGAACCAGTGCATGATTTTCCTCTTTCCCTGGCAAAGGCAGTATCCAGATAGAGACTGCTCCATCAACCCGAGTCCAGAGGGAAGATGACACGGAGCAGAGCCTCGTGAGCACGCTGCATGAGTTCTTTGGTCTGGATGAAGGTTTGCTCTCTAGCCACTGCTTTTCTTACATGTATTACATTCATATGGTTTCTCTAGAGAGGGCTGGATTTTGGTATTTCTCTTCCTTCAGGTCAGTTATGTTCTGTTAAATCCCAAGTTGTTTAGGGTCTGGTAAAATAGATTCTCTTGAGGGCAGGCTTCATTAAGAAGAATAAAATGTTGTGGGCCTATTTCAAAACAGTTTCTTGTTCCCCTGCTGGACATGCAGCACACTGTCTCCAATTTTTCAGAGTGAGAACCTGGTAGGAATTCTGAAGCTAAGACTCACAAAAGTGGGTGAGGTTCTAAGACCCTCCCTAACACTGGGCCCCCCTAGAGTTTGTAACTCTTACACTTGCTGCACTGAGCCTCCAGCAATTTGTCAATCGTGGTTCAGGTTTCCTCCCTGGTGTCCATGGAGGTTTCTGCTTGCACATTTCTGCTTCAGTAAATGAGATTCTTTGTACCTACCTGTCTCTCTGATTTGGGGGCCAGCAATTTGCCTGTGACCTCAATTCTTTGATAGATCTAACAAAATTTACTGATTTTCAGTTTGTTTAGTTTTTTACTTGTTGTTAGAATGGCAACTTCCAAATTCTTCACATGCTGAACCAGAAATGAAGTCTGAATTGTTTTTTGTTCCTTTATTTCCCTGTGAAAGCTTTGCTTTATTCAATTGTTATTAATAAGTCTTTCTTCCCTTCATTCTTAATTCCTAATTATTTTTTGTACCATGATTTGTCTAATTATTCCTTCTTTGATAGGTATTTGATGACATCCAGTTTCACTATTATAAACAATGCTGCAGTAAGATTCATGTATATAATTTATTACACTGATATCTAACTGCTCAGTTTGCCTTGCTTTCTTTTAGTCAGCGAGCATGAGTCATATTTTTAACATTTCTTTTGTGGGGATTATTTGCTTTATAAGGAAGTTAATGCTGTCACTGAATAAAGACTCTTATGAAAAAACTGGACTTCAAGGTGGTCCATCTCAGTATTCTGGTAAAAAAAAATCGTGAAACTTAGTATTATGCTCACTCCATCACTTTTTAACAAATTAGTAATATTTTTTAAAGAATAAAAAAATACTTCATTCATCACAATACAATCTCTGAACAACACATCCTAAACTCAGGCTTATGTGGAAAGAGAGTGTACGTGACGGTTAAGGGATGGGACAGACTCCAAATTTAAATTTAAATGCCTCTACTCTTTGTTCAGGAAAAGTATGATTTTCTTTTGCCTTTGAAACTTCTGAGTCTAGGGGCTTCAGAGAGGATGAGATATTGCTGTTGCACGTGTTTCTCTTTCACTGTAAGGCTGCATCTTATAAAGATAGAATTGGGCATGGTGCAATAGATGTATGTGTTTTGGGTCAAACATTCAAAGTAATGAACCCATGATAGGGATCTACAACTTTGATTCTCAATAGAGAATATCCTTTGATTTCCCCGTTTCCATCCATGATTACTAGTAGAAATTCACCCACGTTAGGAGATGTGGTTCTGCTGATGGTGTCTAGCTTGAACATCAGTAGTCAAGGCTGCCATGTCCATGGGTGGATTAGAGTTGACCTCCTCATGACCTCTGCACTTGGCCATTGACAAGGGGAAAATAAGAATTTAAAACAGCTCAGTGTTAGACATACTCATTGTAGAGAGTTTGATTTGGTAAACCTAAGGGAGTACATGGAAAATGGAAGTTTTTACCATCCATAAAATTTGCAAAATTCTGATCTTTAAAAAAAATAACACTTTTCCCTCATGTATATACAAATGAAATTTCTATTCCTCTTTTTATTTTTAAAATTGCTTCCATTTATCTGATGGACTTATGTTTTAATCTGGGTTCTAAGAAGTGTGAAAGAACATCTTGGTCATTCAGATAAAGAAGCCATGACTTTCTTTGATTGGGGTTCTTTGATTTAATTTTTGATATTAAGCTATATGAGCTGTTTGTATATTTTGGAAATTAATCTCGTCGGTCACATCATTTGCAAATATTTTCTCCCAGTCTGTAGATTGTCTTTTCGTTTTGTTCATGGTTTCCTTTGCAAAAGCTTTTAATTAGGTCCCATTTATTTTTATTTCCATTACTCTAGGAGATGGATCCAAAAAGATATTGCTGCGATTTATGTCAGTGTTCTGCCTGTTCTCCTCTAGTTTTATAGTATCCAGTCTTACATTTAGGTCTTTAATCCATTTTGAGTTTATTTTTGTATATAGTGTGAGGTTTTCTAATTTCATTCTTTTACATGTAGCTGTCCAGTTTTCCCAGCAACACTTATTGAAGAGATTTTTTTCTCCACTGTACATTCTTACCTCCTTTGTTGTAGATTAATTGACCACAAATGGGTTTATTTCTCGGCTTTCTATCCTGTTCCATTGATCCATATATTTTTGTGCCAGTACCATACTGTTTTGATATTGTAGCTTTGTAGTATAGTCTGAAGACCAGGAGCATGATTCCTCCACCTCCATTCTTTCCATCTGTTTGTATGGTCTTCAGTTTCTTTCATCAGCATCTTACAGTTTTTGGAGTACAGGTCTTTTGCCTCCTTAGGTAGGCTTATTCCTAGGTATTTTATTCTTTTTGATGCAATGGTAAATGGAATTGTTTCCTTAATTTCTCTTTCAGGTATTTCATTGGTAGTGTATTGAAATGCAACAGATTTCTATGTGTTAATTTTGTATCCAGCAACTTTACTGAGTTCATTGATGAGCTCTAGTTTTCTGGTAGCATCTTTAGGATTTTCTACATATAGCATCATGTCATCTGCAAACAGTTTTACTTCTTTGGAGGGCTCAGGCAGGGAAGTGTGGAGCAAGGCCAGGCTGGGGTGAGCGGTCCCTGGAGTGGAGCAGGGTTCTCAGGAGATACTTTTCTTCCTCTCTCTTTCCCTTCCCCTCTCCTCCCTCCCTCCTCGGTTGTTGGTGGGGGTGGGGGATCAGCCAGCTGGCAGGGGAAGGGGCAGCTCAGGGGCCTGTAGCCCTCTGGAATTGCTGTGGCTTTTCTGCAGTCTTGTGCTTTGGTCATGTCATGGGATTGTAAACCTTTCCTGTTGGGAGCTTTGAAAGATGAGAGAGTTTTGAAAGATGAATCATGACTGGGGAGGGTGTAGGGAGGTCCATCAGGGAAATGCCCCCAAACTGATGATGGACACAGCACTAGCAATCAAAATATTGAAATCCAACCTGAGTGAAAACCAGACCCAAGTCTGAGCTCACGCCAAGTACCTACTCCACTGTCAAGAGCTAAAGTGTTACCACCTGGCTTTTTGAACATTATCCCCTCCATCAGAAGCTGCAAGTGTCACTCAGACACCCAGTAGGCTGGCCTCTGCCAGGGAGGCCTTTTCAGTGCCGCCAGGGGCTGAGTATAAATCCTGGTTCCTGACGGCACAGGCCCTTCCTGACATGGCACAATCATCCAGAAAAATGATTTGCTAAAGAAGAGGCAGGTAAGACCACACTTTACCTCCAAAGAGAAAGAGAAGTGCTTTTTGTAATCAATCAGTAAACAGATCATAGGGGACGGCCCCGGAAGGAGTTGAAGATGTAAGGAAGGGGTGAGCAGTAAGGCTAGAAATCCTGAGTGCTATCCTCCGATGGACAGCTCCTGGGAACCTGCTAGAAGCACAGAGCCTCAGGCCCCACAAAAGACCCTGCACTCTGGCAAGACCCCCAGGGTTCCCAGTGCACTGGAGTTGGAGAGGCACTGGTCTAGGGTTGTACTGAGGAAATCTAAAGGCCAGGTCCTCCTGATGCCCAAGCTCCATCTCCTTTCCGAAGCTTTCTGAAGGCTCTACCCATTCTTTTCTCTTCGTTGCTACCGCACTGAGGTTTAGCCCCACTACTGTGTGAGGTTCTGTCTCCCCAGTTAGACTGTCAGCTCCTCCAAGCAGGAGTTTCTTCGTGTCCCAGGCATCTTGTATATGCCTTACACGAACAGCAACTAGTCCATCAGCAATCACCCCAAACTGTTTCAGGGCCTATTTAGAGGAGTGCTTCTCACATTTAGAAATCATCCAGGGAGCTTTAAAAAACAACCCAAACACGAGCAGATGAGAAAAGATGGCTGGTGAAGGCACTCCCCTCCACCACCTTGATTTTTATTTATTAAAAAATTTATTATTTATAAATTTATTTTATTTATTTATTTTTGGCTGCACTGGGTCTTCGTTGCTGCGCACGGGCTTTCTCTAGTTGCGGCGAGCGGGGGCTACTCTTCATTGCGGAGCGTGGGCTTCTCACTGCAGTGGCTTCTCTTGTTGCGGAGCACCGGCTCTAGGTGCGCGGGCTTCAGTAGTTGTGGCACGTGGACTCAGTAGTTGTGGCATGTGGACTCAGTAGTTGTGGCTCACGGGCTCTAGAGCGCAGGCTCAGTAGTTGTGGTGCACGGGCTTAGCTGCTCTGCGGCATGTGGGATCCTCCTGGACCAGGGCTCGAACCCGTGTCCCCTGCATTGGCAGGAGGATTCTTAACCACTGCGCCACCAAGGAAGCCCCACCTTGATTTTTAGATTAGCCCAAACTGGCCACAGCAGGGTGTTAGGACTGTAATGGGCACCCAGGAGCTGGACACCACGCCTTAGTGGGCTGCCGGGCAGCCCCAACTCCTCCACTGCATCCTCAGTGCTGGAACGTGCTGCTGCTCTGCACAAATCCCACCAACTGACAGGCAGACATCACATCCCCTCTAACTGTCCCAACCAGCAGTTCATCGTTTGCATGTTTGTACATAGGGTTAAATAAAAACTTTAAAGGATGTTGACTTCTGTAAAGCCCTAGAGCCTGGCTGCCTTTAACAAAGCTCTTGTTATTTTTCATGCAGAAAAAAAAATGCACCCAAGATCGCAAATTCTGACAATCAGTGGCAGCACACAGATAATTGTTAAGTTTTATTATGAATTTAAAAACCTAAACATTTCATGAGGACTGGGAAGCCTACCCACAAGATCCGCCCTCCTGCATTTCCAACTCCCACACGTCCAGGCCTCACCACACATACACCCCAATGATGTGCAATCCGCAGCACAGCATGTCCTTTATTTGCACTATTGATAGAAAACTGGCATTTAGATTTCAAAATTTTTATTACAAAATTACCAGCAGTCTTAAGCATTTCAACAATGCTTATGAACTCTACCTTGCTGACACAAACAAAGCTATTCAAAAAGCAGGACCTGTCTGAAGTGGACTCTTGTACGTCCTGAGATCCTTAGAGGCCACCCTGCTCAGGACCCATTTGTGACTGTGTCTTCTTCCATCTCCTCTTCACCATCATCAGTGGGGCCTAGAGAAAAACACAAAGCCAGAAGTAATATCAATTTTAGAGAATGTGCTTGCTCAGTGTGTGAGCGCCCATCCGTGAGGCTGCTGTGTGCCAGGCCCTGGGCAAGGTACAAAAGCCCAACAGCGGCCTCTGCCTTGAGGAGTTTAGGGTCTGGAGACCATCTATCTTTGGCAGGTATTGGAAAGGATTGTCAGTTCCTAAGGGGAAGGGTCACAAAGGTGTTTTATGAAAGTCAAACTCTTTGCCTGCCATTCTAGTCAAGCTGATAACTCTTTTTTTTTTTTTTGCGGTACGCGGGCCTCTCACTGCCGTGGCCTCTCCCGTTGCGGAGCACAGGCTCCAGACACGCAGGCTCAGCAGCCATGGCTCACGGGCCTAGCCGATCCACGGCATGTGGGATCCTCCCGGACCAGGGCACGAACCTGTGTCCCCTGCATCGGCAGGCGGACCCTCAACCACTGTGCCACCAGGGAAGCCTGATAACTCATTTTTTATAAACACAAAAAGCTTACACTTTGTGTTTTGTTCTTGCCACTACTATGGGCAAAGAAACTGGGAACACTCAAAAAAATTTTAAAAAGGGGCGGGGGGGGGAATACCTACCACATGCTGGGGATAGTCAGTTAGTGACTATGTCTCTAAATTAAGAAAAATATGGCAACAACAATGAAACAGTTGTTATTTGTCAACAATTTATTGCAGATATTTTAGTCAATGTATTCTGATAAAGGAAATGTTTTAACCCTGTCAATGTTAGGGAAAATTTCTCATGTTTGTTTCTAGTTAGACCCAAACATTACATTTCTAGATACAGGAAGTGCTACTCAGAAGCCTGGGCCCACTGAAATTGACAGAACCAGGACCAATCTCCATCTTCCTGTCCTCAATGTGCCTGCATGTTTAGATGACACTGAAAAATCCAAAGCTAGCCTAAGGCTCAAATAAAACACTTTAGGGGAAGCAAATTAATTCAGTAATTTTGTGATACTGCAGTCCCAATAAGCAATTAGACACAGCTTCCTCCCCCAAGCTGTTACCAGGGAGTCTTGAAAGCCTTTGACAGACCTGTATTGTTCTCAGGACTGCAGACCTCCTCCGGCATGGGGACTGCAGGCCTGCAGTCCCCGGAGGGGCTGGACTTGAGAGCTCACTCTGCTGCCCGTCTCACCACATTCCCCCCCATCCCTTGACCTTGGCTCACACTGTCCTCCTTCAGTCCAAGTGTGCAAGGTTCTCTTAAGGCCAGTGCAGTTCCTTGCCCTGAGAATGCCATTCTGCATTTGTCTAGTTCAGGGGTTCTCAAATATTTTAATTTTAGGACCCAAAGAGCTTTTGTTTAAGTAGATTACGTTTATCGATAGTATGTTAGAAAATTAAAAGTATTTTAAAAAACAGTAATTCATTAAAACAATAAATCTATTATATAGTAACAATGTTTATATTTTTATAAAATATAACAATACCAATATTTTCTAAAACAAAAATATTTAGTGAGAAAGTCGGCATTATTTTCTAGTTTTGCCCATCTCTGTAATGTCTGCCAAATAGCAGCTGGACCCGTGTACTGACTTCATCATTCCACTTGCTACAGTATGTTGTTTTGATTGAAGGGTATGAAGAAAGTCAGCCTCACACAGACATGTAGTTAGACAAGGGAGGAGTATTTTAAGTCTTTGCAGGCAGTTGTGGATATTCTTTTCTGATACTATGCCCAAACTTGACAGAAGTGGTAGTTGTTTTTTTTTTGGCCACACCACTTGGCTTGTGGGATTTTAGTTCCCCGACCAGGGACCGAACCCAGGCCCACAGCACTAAAAGCCAAGTCTTAACCACTGGACTGCCAGGGAAGTCCTGAAAGTGGTAGTTTCTTAAAGGTTAGATTGCAGTGTGGAGTCTGAAACCTTATCAATGAACTTTTCATACTCTCTGACTTGAAAATCCACCAGTTTATTCTGTACTCTGAATGGATGCATAACTCTAACATCATTTGGAAAACGTTGTTCACTGAGTTATACAGGTCTTCCAAATGTTGACCCATTTCTTTATATGTTATATAAAAAAATCACATTCATTAACAGCAACAATTTCCGCAGAGAAGTCTGGAAGTACTGGGAAACTGTCAAGGTTAAAATTGTGGAAAAAAATTTTCCCAGCTTTTAATTTCTGCTTGAAAATTTGATTATCATTGGTAACAAACACTAGCTGCTCTCCTTGAAGTGGCAAGCTCACTCCACGTTGGTGAAGCTGCCTGCCTCTCACCTGAGCCAGCACAAGCGCAGGGAGCCAACCACCCACGTAGGCACAGAGGTGCTTTATGCACCCCCATTCCATCGTCACCCAGGAAACCAAAAATGTGTGCCCCAGGGCCCCAAGGACCACATGGATGAGAACCACTGGTCTAATTAACGTCTTACTCATTTTTAGCTTCAGTTCCAGCATTATTTCCCCAAGGAAACTTTCCCTGAGCTGCCATTCTAGACAGAGGTCCCAGTTACATTCATATCAAACTTGTAATATGCACGGTCTGGGGTAGTTTTCACTTTATACCCAACTGTCCACCAGTCTGCCTGACACAAAGCTGGCATTTACTATCAGAAGGGCTCACACCCTATGCTCAGTGCTACCTACGAAGTATCTTACTTAGTCCTCCCAACAACCTTTTGAGGTTACCATTATCACTATCTCAGATTTAAAGATAAGGACACAGATTTAAGAGTAAGTAGAGATTAAGAAATTTACCCAAGGACAGAACTGGTGAAGCTAAGCTCTGACCCTCAGTCTATCTGGCTCTGGAGCCTGTGTCCTCATCTGCTAAGCTAGCCTACATGGACAGGCGTCAAAGGCAACACGGTCACCTCCACTGTTCGCTTTCATTCCATGGCTATGAAATAATGTTTGTCTCAACTTTTACAAAAACCCCAGAGTCCTAGAACATAACATTCTTTAACAAATGATTTCTCTTCAAAGAGCATTTAAAGGCATTTTGTGTGGATTAGATTAGATGGTAATGAGGCACTATTGTAGCATTCTTGGGTCGTAGCATCTAAACTGTTTTGCAATCACTCCAAGTGTACCATTAATTTGGAAATAAAGACAGAACATTGTTACCTGATCTGCGTTCTCTGCCAGGTATCTGACCGGACTGAAGCAAGCCCTTCAGCCGCTCCACTTCAGCCAAAGTTGATGCGTTTGCTATAGCATTCTGGATGCCAGGAGACAATGGAGACGGACAGTTACTTTCATCTAAGCCTCCACCACCCAGAAAACACTCACAGGAATTCACACCATCTTTTTGAGTTGGAATATTAAATAGTTCTTTGTTGGGGGAAGAATTTTACTGGCACAGTGAAATCAAGCCCAAAACCAAATCATAAATTTCCAAAATTGGTAAACAGCTGTAGACCCTATTATAAGAGAGCAAATAATCGCTGCTCGTGTCCTAAAATCTTAGCTAACTGAAGTACCTATTTGGAATTATGCTACTGGATAATTTAGGAGGCAGTATTATAAAATTAGGATTTCTCATCAAGCAGGATCTTTCAGGTAGCAAATCTTTCAAAGTAAAAATTAAGACAGCATGCAAAGGTAACTAACTGTTCAAATAAAACACATCCTGGGAAAATGAGAAAGACCAGAGTTGCCTCCACTTTGACTGGCTCATATAATTAATTCAAGTCAAAGTCTGGTCATATGATATCTTTAAGCTAGTTTTTCCTTACACAAAAATACAGCTGGATTCTAACAACTGTGGGGAAAATTTGCAGTGTTTGATTTATTACTTGGGTTATTACATAATTTTGTGTCCTAAACCCATAACAGCTCACTCCAGTCCAAGAATCCTAACACATGATTACCTTGATTGCTTCCACATCCCCTGGAGATGGCCCACCTTTCTTTTTGTCAGTTGGCAAACCAGCACCTGGATTGAAACTTGGGAGGGGAGGGAAGTACAAAACTGTCAAATCCAGACCAATAGAAATTGCTTCTCTTTTACTTTCAAAAGCTTTTGAAAGTAATTCAACCAGTGTAGTATCTTATCTTTGTTAACAAACTGATACAAGAAACTCTCTCCTTCAGAAACACCACCCAGTTCATCTTCCTACAGAGAAAGGAGGACGTATACAATATCACACTAAGACTGAATACTGAAATATTTGCTCTGCTACCCTGGTAGAAATCTCATGTGATACATGGACCACTGATGGTCATGGATCACCATCACGCAAATTTAGTACTGTATTAGTCACAGGCGTTTCATTTCATTTTGCAGGAGGCAAAATGCCAGACAGATAATGTTTCTGAAGGTGAAGTGGAGTGAAGTTGGATATCCGGATCTTACGTTTTGCTTCTCCTGGCAATATCCTTTGCAAGTTGTGCACCCCGTTTGCCCTTGAACATTTTCTCTGCTTCCTGACGCTCCTACAGCGACACCACACACATAGTTAATGGAAATAGGAATACCACATGCATTTAGATGCATTCCTCAGAAAACATGGAAGAAAACTCTCCTGGAATACTCTGGGCTGGTGAAAATACCACGAAGCCAATTTCACATTAAAAGGAGACACAGTGGTCGCCTTTCTGGTGAAGGTCCTTGAAGAAAGTTCCCTCTCCGAGTTTCAAGGAGGGGCTCTCAAGGAACTAAGAAGGTTAAAAAAAAAAAAAAAATCCCCCAATAAAGGGAAAATCATTCTAACAATTAAAGGTACTGAAACGTGGATTACATTACACTCCCCACAGGGAGTGCCTCTAAGCAGGCCGTCTGCTGTGACAGTGCCCACGGCGGCTCTGAGGCTGTGCCACCTCTAGAAAGGCCAGCCCCACACAAGACAACCGGAACTCAAAGTCCCACCATAAACACCGTATGCGAAAATTGACTTAGCACCCCCTCCCCATTCTCATTATCAACCAATGATAAAAATCACTGGGCCATTTAAAAAGTCAGTAACGAAAGTATAAAGGAAAACACACCAATCTATAATGACTTACAACAGAGTAATACTTACTTTTAGTTTCACCTTCTGGAAATCCAGTACTCTGACTTGTGGAACTTTATAAATCACATATAGTCTGTAATGCTTCTTATTTGTTACAGGATTCCTTAGAATACTACAAGAAAAGGAACAATACAGTGCCAATGTTGTTCACAGCACAGCATTCAAGAGGTCCATTTTAATAAAATCTAATGAGTCCATGAAGTAAGGCAAAGTTCACTATTCACATTTCAATGTCATAAGAACTTAACACTAGGGAAATTTTAACATAGCCCAAAGGAAATACTTTCAGTATTTGTTTTTTAAAGGTACTTTTTACTAACTGATGACTTTAAGATCAAGGCTGGTAATGGTGTTATTTTAAAAGACTTTATTGTCACCACCACAAATAATTTCCATACCTTAAATAAGTCAATGATTTGAGAGATGCCAAAGGGTCCAGATCACCCTGTAAAATAACAGCCACGGGTAAGAACATGAATACCACACCCCATTTTGATACTGTGAAATGGTGGATGCCTTTGGAGCAAGGACTGATCTTGCTTTTATGCATTTGTTTTTCCTGCCCCAGAACCGCACAACACTAGCACATCACAGATGCTTGGTACATTTCTACTGAATACCCTGGTTCATAAATTTGAGCTTCTTAAACTTAATATCTTGGCCACAACAGTTTCTGTCTCAACAGCAGAAGAGACAAAAAAAAAAAAAAATCATTTCCTGTAGCAAGTTCAAAAGGACTACTGAGCTTAAAGCAGTGACTGAGAAAAGAAAGCAATGTGAAAACTGCTGTAACTTTTGAGCAAGTTGTTCATATAGGGAACCTCAAACCGTGATCTTGGTGTAAGGTGGTTTTTCCTGTTGGTGCCTGGGAGCAACACGGGTATGTCATCTTTGAGGGAAGGCAGCTTTATTCTAGGTGCCCCCAAACCTCTTCAAATAAAATGTTCAAGGACAAGGAGTACACTTAAAAAATAACGTATATATTGGGCTTCCCTGGTGGTACAGTGGTTGAGAGTCCGCCTGCCGATGCAGGGGACGCGGGTTCGTACCCCAGTCTGGGAAGATCCCACATGCCGCGGAGCAGATGGGCCTGTGAGCCATGGCCGCTAAGCCTGCGTGTCCGGAGCCTGTGCTCCGCAACGGGAGACGCCACAACAGTGAGAGGCCCGCGTACCTCAAAAAAAAAAAAAAAAAACAAACGTATATGGGAAGGCGGCAGGTTAGCTTTTGAATCTTCCCAAATTATGTCATAAAACACAGTGCCACAAGGATAGGAAAACCAAAATGTACGGTCAACTACAAGCAAACTAGATGAAAAGGTACTCTGGCAAGAACCTAACACAGAAGCCAGTGAGGACAAACTACTGTGAGAGCTACATGACTTGCCTGGTGACAACATCCATAAAGGAAGAAGAGAGGAAAGGCAGAGAGGCGTCCAAGAGACCCGAGAACTCCAAAGCGACTGACAGGTGCCCGGTTTGAGAAAGGATAAGCAAAAGATAGGCATGTCCCAATAATGAACACATTAAGTGTGTGATGATGCCTGAAGGGCTCGAGCAATCTGGGACTTCACTCCACCAGAAACTGCCCTTTCCAGAACAAAGCCCCACATGGAGGAGAAACTGCTAGAACAGATCTGAACTAAGTGGGACAGGGCCAAGAGGGACAATGAGGAAAAAAGTACAAGTAAAAGCAGGAGAGGGCAACACAGCCAGGTGCTCAGAAAGCTGCCACTTTTAAATACCTCACAACAGCATGGGAGGGAGCTCTAAAGCTTGCTACTGGCACGCCATCACTAAAGGAAATCTAAAGAACAATCCAAAAAGGAACAAAGGAAGACAAATACTGCCTGACCTCACTTTTATGTGGAATCTCAAGAAAAGTCCAACTCACAGCAACAGAGTTGAATGGTGGTTACCAGAGGCTGAGGGGATGGAGGAAAGGGGAGATGAGCTATTGATCAAAGAGCACAAACTTTCAGTTATAAGATAAATAAGTTCTAGAGATTTCAGGTACAACATTGCGACTATAGTTAAAAATAACATATGGTGTACTCAGTATGATAAAAAAGTAGATCTCAAGTATTCTCACTGCACACACGAAAAGGTAACTAGGTGAAGTGGCGAATATGTTAGTCTGTGGTAATCATTTCACAATGTATACATGTATCAAATTTCACATTGTACACCTTAAACATATATAATTTTCATTTGTCCATCATACGTCAATAAAGCTGCAAAACCAAAAGAAAGGAAGAACGGTAAATTTAGTCACAGACACACATACGGACTGTGCAAAACACAGTGACGTCTTCACGGGGAGGTGGGGGGCGGTGAGATGGTTAAGGTGCCACATTATTCAGGAGGTAGAGGTGCTGGTTAACTGCTTTACACTTGGATAAATATGGGTGTGCTAATTCCTAGGATGCTAAGAATAGAAACAGAGTCTATTTAATAATTAGTTAATCTCTAAACTATCAGAAGGAGAAGTGGAATGCCAAAAAAAGAGAGAGCGAGCAATACAGGAGAGAAAAAAAATTGCAGATAGATGGAACAAATAAAAAATTCTAGAAAAGAAAGAAGATAAACTCAAATATACCAGTAATTACATTAAACATAAACAGACTATTTCATTTAAAAGTCAGACTTCAGACTGGATTTAAAAAAAGAATCCTATCATATGCTGTTTTCAAGAGACAAATCTAAAATATAAGTACAGAAAAACAATGTAAAGTTAGGATGAAAAAAATGATTATGCAAATACTAATTGAAAGAAAGCTTGTTTTGGTATACTGCAGCAGATAAAATAGACAACCAGGGTAAAACAGCACTAATAAGATGTAAAGAGGGTCACCACACATAAAAGGTTTATTTCACCAGTAAGATACATAAAATTTGGATATATCAAATAAAATAACCTAAAAATACATAAAACTAAAATTGACAGAACTCCAAGGAAACAGTCAAATCCACTATCACGCAGGATTTTAATACACCTCTTTCGGTGACTGATCGGACAAACAGCCTTCATCTTTGCAAACAGCTTTAAACACAATTACAACACACAGAATATACTGCCCCCATCATGCCACAAGTTCCCTATGAACGCACATACCTCATATAGTTTAGAAAGGACATGCCCTCAGATCAGTGCTTTCTTACTTTTGGAGTCAAGTACTCCTTTGGGAATCTGAAAGAAGCTTATAGACCTCGTCCACCAGGAAAGGAACAATCAGGGAAATAGGGAAGGGAGGGGTTAAGGGCATAATAACCTTAAATCAAGTTATATCATATGAACTTAAACATCCAGTATTTAAGTGAGAAATTTAGGTTGCAAAACAATGTATAGTATAAGCTCAATTTTGTTCTGTTAAAAACAATGTATAGTATAAGCTCAATTTTGTTTAAAAAAATTTTTGTTAAAAATTTAAAATTATTAATTAAAAAATTAGAAATTTAAAAAGCATAAGAATAATCATATCCAAATAGAGAAAATGAAACTTGCCCCCTATCTTATAAGAAACTGGATTTCAGGGGCTTCCTTGGTGGCACAGTGGTTAAGAATCCACCTGCCAATGCAGGGGACACAGGTTTGAGCCCTGGTCCAGGAAGATCCCACATGCTGAGGGGCAACTAAGCCCGTGAGCCGCAACTACTGAAGCCCGTGCACCTGGAGCCCACGCTCCACAAGAAGAGAAGCCACCGCAATGCGAAGCCCACTCGCCACAACTGGAGAAAGCCCACACGCAGCAACGAAGACCCAACGCAGCCAAAAATAATAAAATAAATAAATAAATTTATAAAAAAATAAAGAAACAAAGTATAATGTTTTTTTTAAAAAAAACAGATTTCAAATGGATCGTTGATCTAAATGTGGAGGAAAACAATAATTTCTCGAATAAAACTCTCCAACAAAATTTAACGTATGTCACATATGTAATTTTCTAGTAGTGACATTAAAACAGGAGAAACTAATTTTAATAATACATTGTTTTACCTATTTTCCAAAATATTACCATTTCAATGTCAGTTTAAAAAAATTGATAGTTTATATTCTTTTTTTTTTTGTACTAACGCTCTAGAATCTGTAGTGTATTTTATATTCTAGTATATCTTAATTCAAAGTAGCCACTTGTGGCTAATAGCTACCATACTGGACACTGTGATTCTAGAAAACAGAATATGTGAGTTTCTTTATGACCCTGGGGTAGGGGAAGCTTAACAGAACTCAAAAGTACTAATAACAACAGACTGATGAAATGGATTATGCTTGAATTAGGAACTTCTCTATCAAGACCCTAAGAGAGTCAAAAGGTGAGCTAGAGAGTGGGAAGATATTTGCAACACATAACCAAAAAAGGCCCTTTTCCTGAATTAATTAAGAAAAGAAAAAGGATGATGAGATAATTTTCTGGATTTTCCAAGTTTTCTATAAAAGGCATGTAGTACCTTTAACTCCTCCCTGCAAATACGTTTTTCCCCTGTTCAACTTACCAATTCCACAAGACTGTTGTTGGTGAGAATGAGTTCTGTCAGACAGGGCAGAGCCTGATCAAGTCCCTCACCTATACGGCTAAAATAAAAAGAAAAAATCTTAATGAAAGTAAAAATTAAGTAAGCTAACAACTTCATCTAAGCCCTTGCCCAGAGGACTTCAAAGCGGGAAGAACCTTAGAGATCTTTCTTCCAACACTCTAACAGAAGGAAAATGAGGCACAAAGAGGAAACTTGTCTGAGGTCACAGAAGTGGGATGATTTTAAAACCCATGCCTCCTGAAACGCCTCCTGAAAGCTGCCGAGGGCTCCTTCCACTGCTACACTATCTAATGAGACCTAAGACGAAGAGAAAGTCCTGTGTAAATAAACTTACTTTGCTCATCTCAGGACTTGTGTGCAGGTAGCACAGAAATACAAGTGGTTCTGCATTCACAGCTCAAGCACAAGATACACCAACCAAACCACAACGGAATAGTTAACTCATGAGAAATACACCTATTAAAAAAACGCAACTCAACACCCAGAACTTCTTAAAGACATTGTCTATAGACCTTTAATAACTTTTCTCCAACAAAATTTACAGAGATGATGAACGTGGGTCAAAAAAAAAAATCTTTATTTCAATAAGCAATATTCTAAAAATCAGCTGCAGTTAAAGAAAAACAAATAGCAGAGGATTTGAGGTAGAATGAGATGTTCAGTCAAAAATATAATTGTTGAATTTTATGTTATCTCTTTAATATGACCCCTCTGATAATTTTAATTATTTTAGATATCAACCAAAATATGTACAAAGCAGCATGTTTTTAACTTAAATTAGAAACTTACCATGAACATATATATATACACACAAGATTTCTGAATAAATGCAAATAAGACTAGACCAATGACAAATTAATCTCTGGATCTGTATGAGACAAGTGCAGCTCATTTTCCATTTAAGGAATATGTAGGTTAAAAAGAAAAATAAAGAAATATGTAGGTTTAACTGGCAGTATATACTGCAACTTCTTCAGGGAACTCTGCAACATTTACTCTAGGGGGAAAAAGCTACTTTCCACTAGTAGACAATTACCATATTCTGTTGTTGTTCACTAATAATGTTTTCAGTCTTCTCAACAAAGGAAAACCATCCAGTTTCCTGATTTCATTGTCAGAAAAATCAATGGCATCAAACTGGTCTAAGGTAGCGCCTAGATTTTCAATGACAGGAATTTTATACCCTGCAAAAAGGAGGAAAAAAAACACCCACACAAGTATTAATATAATTAAAAGGCACCTAAAACATTAGCAGCATTTCATGTAATTGGACTCACAGCTAATGTTCCTTCCAAAAGTGTTTACCTAACACCTATGCCGTTGCCAGACACTGCCAGGTACTGGCACATAGTACAAGGAACAAGACAGTCACAAGTCCCAGCTGCCATGAAGCTTATAGTCTAGCAGTGGACATGAAGATGGCGATGGTGACAAGGGCAGTAATGATGAGAATACTTACTAGCAGTAACTAGTACCTAACAGTTTTCAAGAATATTTCCAAGGTGCCTAATGCTGCTCTAAGCAAGGCCCCAGAGCTAGTGAAGTGGCCTAAGAGGACTTTACGCTGTGAGCTGCTTAACTGTCAGCGTCCAAACGTTGTTCACACATGGTGGACAACAGCCCTCAACCTCTTTTGCATCCCACAGGCCCGATTCCTAGAACTCATTGGGATGTCTTCATGATATCATGACAGTTCCCCCTTACTTCACCTCCCCCAGCTCAAACCCAGAGTTGAAAGTCAATAGTTCACACACAATGGTAAATCACCCTGTGGACAACTCAAATACTCCCTGATTTGTCTAACACGGGCAAAATTATTGTGCTAAGTGCTCGGAGAAAAAAAGAAGTTAAACGAGCCAAGGTGAAAGTACACAGTGCAGAGCTGTAAGGGCTACATCAAAGTAAGTGCTGCACCAAAACAAGACTCCTCAACGTTGGGGTGCACTTCAGACTCAGAGAGAAGGCAGGGATCACCTGTGCCAAGACTGTGAAAGCGGTCGGTTACGCTTGAGTTGAACCTTTCTCTAAGAAACTTAGTTTCAACAAAACGAAAGTACTGGGCTTTGTCAGCAAACAAAAAAGCAAGCAGAGAGCAGAGCCCACAGCCGTGCTGCTCCGGCGACCGCGCTTTCCCCGTGGGAGCGAATCTCAGGCCAAGACTAATTATCTTATCCCCGGAGAAGCCGCCCCTTAAAATGCTGACGAGCTGCACGCCGAGGCGGAAATCACTACAGGAACCTAACAGTTCGAGGTCTTCCGCGACCCTTCCGCAGGCACCGGGCAGCGCCAGCCTCGCTCCCACAGTCCGCTCTTTGCAATGTTCTGGTAAAAGGGGAAAAGACGACTGAAGCCAATGAGGGGCAAATATCGGGAAGACAATCGCTTTTGTCCCGTACTTCGTCTCCTCGCTCCCTTACCCTGTCTACACTCTCACGACAGCAAGTTAACGCGTCTCGCTCCGCACGAGGGTCGCAACCGCTAGATCGTGTATTTCCCGGCCCCGCAGCGGCTCAGGCCGCGAAGCCCGCCCGGCTGGCCCGGCACAGGCCCGCGGTCCTACCGGAGCATCGCGGCGGCCCCGTGTGTGCGGAGAGGAGCTGGGGTGAGGGGCGCCTCAGAAGGGCCCAGAGACGGCTTTTCGCCGACGACAGCGGGACCCAGCCCGGCTCGGAGCCCGGGACGCAGGCCGCCGGCCACGCTCCGGCCCTGGCGCACGCGGCTAGGCCGGGCCGCCTGGCGGGCGGGGAGGCCGGACCGCCCGCCCCCGTCCGACTCACCCCGCAGGTCCAGCTCGCGGTCCCGCACGGCGTTGGTGTACTGCGCCGCCTGCTCTATCAGCTCCGCCGTCAGTTTCACCATTCTGCCACCTCCCGCCCGCCTCGCCGCCCGCTCCTCTCGCCGCACTGACGTCCCGGCATGCCCCGCGCCCGCGTCTGCGCCCGCGCCAGGCAGCACCAATCGCCGCCGGCGTGCGCGGGCTGAGCAGCGTCCAGGCTGAAGCAATCGAGGAGCCATGCCCCTGGGCTCGGGCTCCGCTCTGGTTCTGGCTCTGTTCCTCTGGCACTGCCGCGGTCTGCAGGGCCTCCGAGTCCAGACAGCTGTGTCCGCAAGTTAACAAAATGTGAAAGCCCCCAAAGGGAACTTTCTCGTGCATCCGTGCACCGTGAGGTGAAAGGGAGGCTGTGACTGTCCTTACTCCACCCGTGGGTCCAGTGATGGGTCCCGGATTTTGGCCCCCGGCGTACCAGATGAGGACGGGCTGGGTCGCCCGGCCCGGTCGAATTTGTGGTTAGGCCTGTGCTCTACAGACAATTAGATATTCATGTTGAAGCCTGGTACACAGGAAAGCGCGCAGATCAGAAATCTGCAGCAGAGTGAGCACACCCGCGTGGCCGCCGCCGGCCTCCTAAACGAACACTATTCGGAAAACCTGCCCGCCTCCCCCCTCCCCAAGGGCAACTGCGAATCCAACACCATAGATTAGTTTTGCTTGCTTTTGATATAGACTCATGCAATCTGGCTTTGTGCCTGGTTTCTTCGGCTCTGTGTCGTGCCTGGAATCCATCCAGGTTGCAGGCAGCAGAGGTTTGTTTACTTGCTGTTGTATAGAATTCCATTGTGTTTCTCACACCATAACTTATCCATTTTGCTGTTCATGGACATTAGAGTGTCCAGTTTGGGGCTGTTCTGCATAATGCTGCTATAAATTTTCATGTGCGTGGATCTGATGCACGTGCATCTTAATTTCTCCAGGAGTGGAACTAATGGGACATAGGATGTGGTATCATCGATAGATAATGCCTGACGATCACTGCCAAGAGGCTGAAATAATTTCCACAGTCTCTAGTGGTGTGTTAGGGTTTCCATCACTTCCAACGTCAGCCTCATTGGCACTGTCAGTCTTTATAATTTTAGCGATTCTGGTGGGTGTGTAGTGGTATTGCACTAATGCTTTGCTTTTCTCTAATAACTAATAAAGTTGAGGATCTTCTGTATATGTTGTCCACTCTTGATATCTTTTGCAAAGTGCCCATTCAAGTCTTTGCCCATCTTTTTCTGTTGGGTTGTCTGCCTTTTATTATTATTCATTATGGGATTTCTTTATATATTCTGGATATGAGTATACTCTGTGGTTTACCTTTCACTTTTTTTTTTTTTTTTTTTGTTAAAACTGCTTAAATACCAAAGACCTCACAGGGAGTGGAAATACTGTCCTCACATACATCCTCATTATAATCCAGTTTGGTCTAGGAAAACATCTTATTCCCCAAATCACCAAATCATGATCTGGGCTGTAAATTGAATCAAAAGGATAAGAAATGTGACTGCCTCTCCCATTTTGAAAAAGAAACAAGCTTTCAAAGGGTCCGATTCAAGAACAGACATCAGAAGAAGAACTACTTAGCTCAGGAAGCCCTGCCCATTGACAGTGTCTTTTGTCCTATCTTGGGGAGGACACTTTTACTATGGTCATGTAGGTCGGGGACCCAGAAAGGGTTTTCTGCTTACTGACCTTTTCACCGTTAATGAAAAGGTGTTGTTTAATGACCAGAAGTTTCTAATTTTTACATAGTTCAGTTTATGTGTATGTGTATTCACGTGTGTGTCTTGTTTGAGAAATCTTCCCTAATCTCCAAAATGTTTTTCTGTGTTATCTACTAGAGGCTCAGCTGTTTTATCCTTCACATTTAGCTCTCCAATTCCCCTGGAATTGATTCCTTTTGAACTTTCTATTGAAGCATGATATACATGCAGCAGACTGCAAACTACACACACCCAAGCAACTGACATCCAGATCAAGAACAGGAGATTGCACATTCCAGAAGCACACCTCTTGCCCTCTTCCAGCCACACCCTTGCCCCAATGGTAACCACTAATCTAACATCTTGCGTAGATTGGCTTTGCCTAGTTTTGTATTTATGCAAAATGCAATTGCACCTTATGCACCTCTTGCTTAACCTGTTTGTGTGTAGATGTAGTTCATTTATTCTCGTTGTTATATAGTTTCTCACTGTGAATATTCCACAGTTTGTCTATTCTGCTGTTGATGAGCATGGGTAATTTTCAGTTTGTAGCTATTATAAATAGTGCACCTACTAACATTATAATAAATATCTTTAAGTGAACACATATACTGATATATACTTGGAAATAGAATTGTTGGGCCATAGGGTTTACTTACTTTCAGCTTAAGTAGATACTACTAATTTTCCAAAGTGGTTGTACCAGTTTATACTCCTTACTGACGTTTGGTATCGCCTGTCTTTTTAAGTTTAGCCATTCTGGTGGGTTGGTAGTGGTATCCCACTGTGGTTTTCATTCTATTTCTCTGATTACTAACACAGTTGAGAACTTTAAAAAATATATATTTATTGTCCATTTAATTAGCTTTTGTGAAGTGTTTGTTTAGGTGTTTTGTCTGGTTTTCTATTGGGCTGTCCTTTTTTACTGATTTGTAGGTGGTTTTTTTTGGATAGAAGTCCTTGTGAGATAAAAGTACAGTAACTATCTTCCCTCTCTCTGTGGCCTTTTCACTCTGTTAATGCTGTCTTTTGGTGAACAGAAGTTCTTAATTTTAACATAGCCTAATATACGCACTTTTCCCTATATGGTTAATGTTTTTTGAGTCCTCGTTAAGAAATCTTTGCCTATGCCAAAATTATAAATCTTTTCTTCTAAAAGCTTTATTGTTTCCCCTTCCACATTTGGATTTGCAATCTGTCTGGAATAGATTTTCATACATACTCTGAGGTAGGGATCAAGATATATTTTTTCCTCATCTGGGTATTCAGTTGATCCAGCACCATTTATTGAAAAGCCCATCCTTTCACCATTGTGCCACAGTGCTATCTCCTTTTTCATAAATCAAATGTCTAAATATGTGAGGATTTACTTCTGGACTAGCTATTCTGTTCCATGGGTTTAGTCGCCTATTTTTGCATACCATCTTACTGTCTTTATAATAATAAGATCTATTTTACTCTATTTTTTTGCGGTACGCGGGCCTCTCACTGTTGTGGCCTCTCCCGTTGCGGAGCACAGGCTCCGGACGCGCAGGCTCAGCGGCCATGGCTCACGGGCCCAGCCGCTCCGCGGCATGTGGGATCTTCCAGGACCGGGGCACGAACCCATGTCCCCTGCATCGGCAGGCAGACTCTCAACCACTGCGCCAACAGGGAAGCCCTAAGCTCTATTTTAAAACTTGATATTCGCCTCAAAAAGAGAGCCACTTTGTTTTTCAACATTGTCTTGGTTATTATTGCCCTTTGCATTTTAATAGAAATTATAGATAAATCTTGTATCTAAAAATGAACCCATACTTTGATTTATATTGTATTGGATCTGTGGATGAAGGGAATTTTTTTTTTTTTTTTTTTGCTGCGTTGGGTCTTCGTTGCTGCGTGCGGGCTTTCTCTAGTCGTGGTGAGCAGGGACTACTCTTCGTTGCGGTGCATGGGCTTCTCTTTGCGGTGGCTTCTGTTGTTGTGGAGCATGAGCTCTAGGCACACGGGCTTCGGGAGTTGCAGCATGTGGGCTCAGCAGTTGTGGCTCACGGGCTCTAGAGCGCAGGATCCAGTAGTTGCGGCACATGGGCTTAGTTGCTCCGTGGCATGTGGGATCTTCCTGGACCAGGGATCGAACCCGTGTCCCCTGCATTGGCAGGCGGATTCTCAACCACTGTGCAAGCAGGGAAGTCCCTGAAGGGAATTCTTATCTTTACAATATTGAGTATTCCAATCCATAAACATTTATTTAGATCTTCTTTGGTTTCTCTTAGTGTTTTATAGCTTTTGTGTAGAGGTCCTATACCTCTTTTACTAGATTTATTCTAGTTATTTAATAGTTTCTGATGCTGTTGTAAACAGTATCTTCTATTTTAAAAATTCCATTTTCTAATCATTGAGTGCTGGTATATTGAAACACAGTTGATTTACAGTGGAAATACAATTGATACTGGCATTGTATCCAGCAGTCTTGCTGAAGTCATTTACTAATTCTAATCATTAATCTATAACTGTTCTTTTGGATTTTCTACATGCCTAACCCTGCTCTTTGAGAATAATGAACGTTTTATTTCTGCCTTTCCAATTCTTATACCAGTTCTTTATGTTTTGCCCTATTGCTTTGGCTGGGATCATCAGCACAATGTTGGATAGTGGACATCCTTTAGCAGGCATCACTTCATAGCCCAGGGGCGGGGGTGCGTACGGGATGGAACCCTCATCACCTGATCAAAGTTAACACCACCAATAATGGAACAAGTCAAAGTCTTGTATCACCTACTAGGATGCAATGACAAGAACACAGCATGGCTTCGGAGAGATTCATGTCAAAGACGCTTGACCTGAATGGAAATATGAGGAAACCTCAGACAAGCACACACTGAGGGGCAGCCTACAAATAACTGGCTGGTCGTCTTTAAAAGGTTCAAGGTCATGAAAGTCAAAGAACCAAGGAACTGTTCTAGATTGAAGGCTAGAGCCCTGATGAGTACATGCAGAGAGTGATCTAAATTGGACCCTTTTGCTAAGGGCATTATCAGGACAGCTGGCAAGACTTGAATCCAGTCAGAGGATTGATGGTAGGAATATACCAATTTCCTGATCCCCATGGTTATGTAGAAGATCCTTGTTCATGGGAAATAATTCAAAGTATTTAGGAGGTGGTAGGATATTACATCGGTAATTTACTTTCAAATTGTTCAGGAAAACATTTCTTTGTACTGTACTTGCAACTTTTCTGTAATTTTGCCTTGCGATTGATTGTTTCAAAATAAAGAAAACAATCTAAACTTCACTTCATTCCCGAGAGAACCACCAGGTGGAGTCCTTAGACCAGAGAGCTGATTTGACAAGCCCTTCTCCTATTCAATTAAAAACAAAAGGGTAAGCAATTATACTTCAATAAAGATGTTAAAAAACAAAAACAAAACAAAACAAAAAAAACAGAAGGGTTTATTTCTTTACTTTAAAAAAGGAAAGTAGTGCGGGTTTCCCTTGCTTCAGCTCACAAACAGGGACATAAGCTATAGCTGGTTTTATTCATCTTAGGGTATCTCTAGGAAGTTGAGAACAGGTTTTCTTTTTTGATTTCATTTCTCTTGGCTAGGGTTTCTCAACCTCCTCGGCACCTTTGGGGGCTGGATAATTCTTTGCTGCGGGGACCGTCTTGTGCATTCCACGATGTTTAGCAGCATCCCTGGCCTCTACCCACTAGATGTCAGTACAGACGTCTCCAGGGAGACAAAAATCACCCCCTGGGTGAGAACCACTGTCTTTGCAATGAGATGTGCTCTGCTCTGGGCACGCTGGTGCCCATCTGCTCAACAGGACCACCCTTGGTGTAGCTGATACAGAGTGGGGGGTGCCCAGGGGAGGGGCAGCTTTGGGTGGTAGGAGCTGCTGTGCCATGTAGGGGGTGCTGTTCCGTGCACGGACAAGCCGCAGAGCCTGGGGCGTCAGGACAGCCTGAGACAACCAGCAGGACGGATAAAGCCTTGGCTCATGAAGGAAAGCAGCCGAGAAGTCTGGGACAGGATGCAAACTCCTTTCTCATGACAGTCGGCCCCTAGCTGCCTCTCAGCCGGCTGGGCAGAACCTTACAGTGCCAGAGAATGGCTATGGTGTATTACTTTCCATCACCCTTGCTTGTTCTTATTAAAATAACCTTCCTTTTACTTCACTTCTCCACCTCCTTCCCATTTGCGTCCTGTGATCTAAACCTCCACCCCTCACCTGCTCCCAGGGGCCCCAGTGTGCCCCAAGCTTGCAGGCTTAAGGGTCCTCCAGCCACATTATCAATGATTTAAATGCAATGAAGGGCAGTCCCCCAAGTTCAAGGGAACTGCACCATTGGCCACATTTAGACTATGTTGCCCCCCTCCCCCACCGCCGTTTTGTACTTAAAGCTCCATTCACCCCCCTCCTTCCCACTATAAGTGCATCTCCTGTAAAAAGTGCAATTCTCCCCAGCCCTTTGAAGAGGTACAACGTATAAAATCAGCAGTGGCCTGGGAGGGATGGGGACGTGCATCTGGGGACCACTGTGAGGTGCCAAAGACTTTGGGGACAAGGTCAGAAAAATGTCATCCCCTGGCAATGAAGACAGCTTAAACTGAATGCATCGTGGCCCTGTTTGGCCAGCTGCAGAAGTGACCATCCCTCCTGCCAAGAGCCAGCCTCCCTCCCGGGGCACACGATGGAGCACCCTCGCCAGTGGGAGGCCCCAGACAAGTCACTTCAGCTCTACGAGCCTCGGTCTGTGAAATGAGGGGTTTAGAGGACATGCCCCACGAGTCCATCATGCAAAACAAAATCCATAGACGTGTCCTGCCCCAACAGAGTCCAGATAATCTTAAGGTCGGACCATTTGCAAACAGGCATTTTATGTGGTCAGTCCCTTTTAACAAGGGGGTGATTGGTTCTTAGGCCTTTGTGAACACCTTCTCAACTCCGCACTGCACTCGCCGGCCCCGGGACAGGCTGGCCCAGCCACTGCCGGGCGGGTATGTGCTGCCCGCTGGCCTTCTTGTAGGTGGTGTCCTTTGGTAATAACAGGACTTGATTTCTGGTTCAGTTGCAAACATGTTAAACCATGAATTCTCAGTGGACAAAAAGCTCTAGGGGCTAAAATGGTGCCCTGCACCAGAGGTGCTTAGCAAGTTGCTGGTTTTAATTCAATCAGGCTCCTGGTGGAGGTTGAATTCTTACTGATATTCTGCCCAGTCCTGGCTACTGTCTCCCAAACACACTCACTCAGTCCTTCATTACGTCACATTTGACAACTCGGGCCAAGTCCTGCTCGTGGCGGCAGCTAGCTGGCAGGTCGCATAGCCTCTCCCTGCTTTCCGAGAGCTGCACGCTGCTCCCCACCTCCGGCCACGTGGTCACTGGAAGGGCTCCGGGGCCACGTGTCCCTGTGGCCAGAACTGGTGGAACCGGGCAAACACAGATGCAAGGCAGACGAACCCGGGCCCGAAGCAGATTCAGAAACCTTTAGAGGGCTGGATGGGCACCAATTTTTCTTGGGAGCTCTGAGTGGTTTTGTCATTTGTCCCATCAAGTGGACAGAGAGGAGGCACTGCTGCAGTGAGGGTCCAGGTGACACTTAATGCTTGTCCCAGGGCTCCCAAGCCCCGGCTACATCTTTCCTGAAATTCCGAAACAACCCTGGAATCCCAAAACAACGGCCCTCCCCGACTTTTGTCTTTTCCCAAGTCAGTTCTAGTCAGTGCATTTCCTATATGTGCAGACAAAGGACTCCTAGTAAGTACAACTCCGACCTCACAGAGAGGCCAGGGTAAAAATCCCATGTAGCGCGGAGCCCACAGGTGCGGGGATTTCAGCCACTGTGTGGAAGACAAGCTGTAACCTAACGAAATCATACTCGCAGCCAGGTGAAGAGGCTTGCAGTCTGGGCTTCTGTGGCCTGAAGAAGGTCTGTTTGCCAAAGGACACCCTGGAGCTGGAACTCTGGGATTCTCCCACGACTTTGCTGCAGCATTATTCGCTAAAGCTCAAAGACCTTGAAATAAAAGCACACATAAAGCCATTTCACACACTGGCCAGTACCCACGTTTCAACGTTGTGCCTTGGGAAGAAACACAGGCTCCTTTGCCATGAAATGTTAACTCTTTTATTAATTTAGGGTTAACACTGTATTTGCTTTGTGGATTTCATTTTCGGAGTTGTGGATTCAACAAACAACAGCTGGGCTCCCCCCCAGCTGACAGGGGACTTGTCAAATGTGTTACAGTCAAAGACGGGAGCAGGACGAAATGGAGAACGAGCTCGAAAAAATTTAAGGCAAATGTTACTCCCATATTAAAGGGACTTGATCAAGCAGATCTGTGCATATCAATGAAAATATATGAAATATTTGTCAAAATAATTAACATTGGTAAAAATCAGAACACGTAGCTTATAAAATACCCACACAGGTTTGGCAAAAATAAATCCAGCCATGTCGTTAGGCTCATAGCACACACAGACGCAGGGGCGCCCACCTTAAGAACAAGTCTCCTGAAAAGCAGGGCCAATGTATTTTCAAAGCAATTCCACGAAACGGGACACGACAGACAATTAACAGTTCACAGGCTGGGTTTACATTTTGGTAGGAAGAATTGCTTGGTCGTTGGGGCACCTTTTGGCCAGCCCCCGGGACGCCTCCTGGGGACCCTCTGTGTTAGGCAGAGGTGCCCGTTCATCTGGGCCATGAGACTCCCAGAGACACAGATAGGATGCAGAGACCGGGGACCTTCAGCTCCCTCAGAGGAAAGGGCGGCAGAGGAAGGAGGGTCCTTCCAACCCATCCGTTTGGGATTAGACTTTCTAAGCCATGGCTGCAGTTTCAGAAGTCGCTGATTATGGAGAAATAGATGCTCCATCCCCAGTGGTCACACGTTTGAAGCCCCAAAATCTGTTTTATTTACAGTCTGACCAAACCATCCCCCAGACTGTGGCAGGCAGATGAGCAGGTATGCCCCTTAGCCCTCCATCACGCAGGGGCACAGCCCAGGGGTCTGCGGGCTGCCCAAAAGCACGGGGAGAAGAGCAATGCACCAAGCATCCTGCCTTTCTGCTTTGGTCTCGAAGATTCAGTAAACTTATGGTCCCAGAAGCTGCTCTGAAGCCGGAGCTGTGGATTCCTGGAATTGGTTCTGTTCCCATTGTGAGTTAGCCAGAAGAATGGAGCCAGCAAGCAGGGTGTGAGAGGACATTGCCGACACCTCCTCGAAGCCCTCACCCACCTGGCCTGGGCGCCCAGAGATGCCGCGGAAAGACCTCGCTCCTGGGGAGATAAAGCTGTCAGATGCAGGGTACCACTCCTGAAACAGACTCTGGCCGACAGCCTGGAGGAAGGTGGACGGACAGACAGGAGGGGCCCTGCCCTGTGCGGGCGGCCGGGCGCCCCTACCCAGCCAGGAGGCAGGTGCGGCAGCAGAACTGGATGAAGAGCTTGCGTTCGCAGAGCCGGTTGGACTTGACCATCTCGCAGAAGGTCTCATCGGCTGGGCCCCCGGGAAGGAGAAAGGAGAGACATGTGAGATTTGGGGGCCAGTTAGGATTGTTCCCATCACCCCACTCTGCTGGGGACATAGTGGGAGCGGGGGTGGCAGCCCTCCCAGTCATCCCTGTGATATGTGGTGGGCCTGGCGCGGCAGAGGCCAGAGCTGAGTCTGGGAGACAAAAGCAGACTCGGGGTGGCAGGGGAGTGGGCGGGGCCTGGGGACACCTGGGCTGTGCCAGGGAGCCCTTGTGGTCCCTGTTCCTCTTCCTGGACAGTTGTGCTGGGGGACTTGGGAGGAAGATGGGGTCAGGCCTGGCAGGGGCAGGATGGAGGCTACGCCGTGATCCCGGGGACACACCAAATGGGAGAGGAAGGGGGTCACCAAGAGGGAAAGGCTGAGGGGGAAGGGAAGAGCCATGGAGGCTGGCCCCTCCCCTCGGCAGCTGGCTTTTGAGGATGTTGCCATTCATGGGAACCGGGAGACCCCCCCGGGGACAGCCTCACTTTCTCGGGCTGGATACATAACCCAAGGAGGTGGCTTCCTAAATCAGGAGCTTCCTGGCCTTTGAAGGGACATAATTCTGTGAGCCAAGAAAACCACCTTGTGGTCCACAGGGCGTGCCCAGGGTGCTCTCTGCGGGCTTCGCGCTCTGCCAGGCCGGGGCCGGTGCCAGCTCCGTGCCCACGGACAGCATGGCACTGGCGGTTACCCTCTCCTGCACGCCTGCCAGCTCACAGTGCCCAGAGCCAGCCCCAGACTGCTCCTCCCTAGGCTTGCTGAGCCATGGAGGCTCCTTCTCGCCATGGCACGTCTGCCCACGGCCCCTGCACTGGGTCTCCAGGCCAGAGTCCCCTGCCAAGCTTTCTCTTGCCCGGAATCCCCAAACTGGTCTCCTCTGAGATCCTGTTTTCACAGCCCATCCTTGCCTCTCCCTGTCGGCTTAGAGCACCAGGGCTCTCCCACAGCACAGAGGCAGGTCCTTCCCATGGACACGCGGGCCTTGACACATGTGCAGGGAGGCTGAGAGCCTTCAGGCCTCCTGACTTTGACCTCCAAGGTCTGGCCTCTCCTAACACATGTCACCACACCCAGGCCACCTTGGGCTTATGGCAGGAGAGTGGGAACGGTCCGAGAACAGAATCATTTGTAAGAGTTACTCAACGGACCGACCCGCACTAGCTGTGCTGGTAGTGGAGATGCCTGTCTGGTCAATGTGAGAGGCCTAAAGGGAAGGGAGGAGGCCCAGAGAGCCAAGTGGTCATTGAGAGGAGGGGCCACAGGGCTGTCCAAGGGACTGCGGTCCCTGCGTCTTCTTTTCCTTTCTCTTCTGCCCGGGGCAGCCCCGAGGTAGCTCAGGGCGGTCACCCACCCATGCTCACCGTTGCTGCACGTGTGGTTGGTGATGCACGAGGTTCCCAGCTGTGTGAAGCCTGTCTTACACCGGCTGCAGTTCCTGCTGGAGCCTTCACAGCTCAAGCAGCTCTCGTCACACCTGCAGGGGAACACGGATTCCCAGATGGGAAAGAGACACAGTCACTCCAGGCCCCTTCCCAGAGCCCTCCCGCCCTCCCGCACTGCACCCCCTGGCTGTAACTGTGCCCCCCACGACGGCCCGAGACCCTGGCCAAGCATCTGCATGTATCTCCTCTATTGCCCTGGGAGCGCGGAGACGGTCACGGCCAGTTGGCAGGAGGATGCCCGGAGCTGAGGATGGGCCCAGGTCTCTGAACCTCCCCGTGGCTCACCTGGACGCCCTCCTGGGCACTGTGGCCACAGGTGGCTCCCTGAGGATGTCAGCATTGACTCTTGGGGCTTGGGGCCAGGCTCCCCTGAATGTGACGGACATGACCCTGGGGCTAGCCGGGGCTGAGCCTCCTTTGTGGTGACGTCGGCCTCCCCCCTGGGGACAGAGGGTGGGGATGCCCTTTCGACCTGTCCCGGAGACGGGACCCAGGACTATTGCTGACAGAGTGCCATGACCTTGGGGGTGGGAGAGTCGGCGCACTCCACTGTCCCGTGTGTTTATCTGCATCTGTCTGTGGCTGCGTCTGTGGCACTGGAGCTGAGCGGCTACTCTGGAGACTGTACGGCCAGCAAAGCCTAAACGACTCACCGTCGGGCTCTTCACAGAAGAGCCTGCCAACGCCCCTTCCTGCTCTGGGCCATGAAGGGACCTGGGCTGTACCTGCTGCCTTCTCCGCGTCCAGCTCCAGGGACTGGGTCTCCCTAGACCCACCTCCCAGCTCCCTGTCAGCTGCAGGCCTGGGAGCAGGGCTCAGACAGGGTGGGCGGGGCATTGGGTGGGCAGTGCTTGGGACAGATGCCACCTCCCAGGCAGCGACCAGACGCCAACAGCACGGCTCACTGTAGGCCTCCTTCCTGAGTGGGCCTGTGCCGGGGTCAGGTGCCATCATGGATTCTGCCTGCACGGGGCCTCCGGGACAGCAGGCCCTCAGCCTGGCTTTTGTTCTCCTGGGGTCACTGAGGGCACCTCCAAACTGGAGTTCGGGCCCATAGTTTATGTTTATAAACGTGTAAGCCCACAGGCAAACCGCATCCTCCTGCAGCAAGAGCCTGCCCTCCCCCCTCACAGACCCTGGAGCGGGAGGACGGGGCCCGACGTGCAGACTCTTACTGCGCACTTTGGGGAAGATCCCAGGGCCCGGCCCCTGTCCTGCTGCACCGCTCTGGCCGGGCCACGGGCCCCTCATGCCACTGCACAGGGGACCACTCCCCCCAACTCCCGCTTCTCTTACAGATGATGTCTGCTAGTGACACAGGAGCTAGGGCCAAGCCCAGCCATGTAATTGGTGGTCAGCTGTCTCGAAGGCCCTGGCTATAAACAGTAAGGGGGCGGCTACAGTGGAGACCCGGCTGCACACAGCTCCTTTCTTCTCCAAATTCAGCCTCACAGAGCCTCAGGATCTCCACGGCAGCCCCCGCGGCTGTGTCGGTTTTCTTCGGCCATGTAACAAATGACCACAATGCAACAGCTTAATCCACCACTTTTCAGCATCTCCCAGTTCCGCAAGCAGAAGCCCGGGCAGCCTCGGACGGGCTCTCTCTCAGGGCCTCACAAGGCCTCGGTCAGGTGTCGGCCAGCCTGGGCTTGGATCGGGAGGCCTCGGCTTGGGGAAAAATCCGGCACCAGGCTGCTCCCCCAACTGCCTCGGGGCCCCTGTTTCTCCGAGAGACCCTCTTGGCTCCTCCGTCAAGGTTACCGTGCCTGGCAGGTGGTCCTCTTGGGCAGGGGGCTTTCAAGACGCCTCTGGTTCTGCCCTCACCCCCGAACACCACAGCGACTGTCCTGCCAAACTCTGCAGGGCGGCGCCCGATGCAGTCCTCTCCCTGCCCTGCTGCCGGACCACTTCCCCGCCTCCCGTCTTTAGGCAGTTCCAGGTGACAGTCAGATGGCAGAAATCTCGTCACACTGGGCACAGGACAGAGCAGAAGGCCTGCCTGAGTCTTGCCCTGCCTCAACATACCCAGGAGGGGCCGGGGGAGGGAGGGTGGTAGGAGGGTGGGGGGCAGACACCCCACCGAGTTGCTCTGTCTTCAAAGAGGTCCTTGCTCCCTCTTCTAGGTCCTCTTCCTAAGTCTTGGGGTGGCCGGCGCCTCTTTTGAGATACTTATCATGGACTGTTCTCGGCCGTGGGCCTCAGCATAACGGGTCTCGACTTGGCATGCAGGCTGCCGACCTGGCAGGCCTGCGTCCCGGCCCGGCTTTTCCCCATGAGCCCTGCCTAGCTGCTCGCACCCTCGAGGCTGCCCTGGCCGGCACTCAGCATTCTGGGGCCTTCGGGAAGCCAGGCTCTCTGAACACTGCTGCTGCCTCGGTGGGGAGAGGCCCAAGGCCATTTCTCCTTCCAGGGGCATCCACACTGAGGGGTCTCCAGAGCCCTGGGACTCGGGAGACGGGAATTCTCTGAAGTGCTAGCAATTCACCACCTAGGCGTCCCGTGCAGGGCGCTTCCTGGGGGTCTATCTCTGAGGCCTGCTGTGTCAGCCCCAGCACTGGACGCTTCTCCAGGACTGAAAGCTTTGCCACGCGTGGAGGTGAGCACCCAGGGAGCTCCTGCCCTCCTTGGCCAAGGAGGGGCTCACGGGGGCTGCCTGCCCCCCGCCTCCTGGCACTGGGGACCCCATAGCTTCTGGGGGCCCTGCGGGGGCTGTCCGCCATACTCGTGGGAATTCCCAGCATCCTCTGAGAGCCAGGGTGTCTGACAAACGAAACTGATTATCACTGTGTAATTCCGCATTGTCCCTGGCTGCCATACTTAGGGTAATCACCCTGGAACCAGCTGGCTGGTTAAAATGAAACTTTACTTCAGACACCGGTGCCGAGGGTCCTTCACGGGACTCAGCAAGGCTGGGTGAAGGTGGCTGGGTAGTGGGGCTGAAACCCTAACCCTCTTTGAGTGGGTCCCACAAGTGCAAGGAGCAGGTGGTCTCTCATTTGCTCATGTAGGTTGTTGGTTTTCGTTTGTTTGTTTGTTTTAAAGAATAGGTTACAATCCACAAGAGTTCTCAAACACAGCCTGAGAGGATCTCAAAGATCCCCACTGTGGGTCCCCAGCTGTGAGCTGCCAGATGGGCTTGGTCTCCCTGCATTGCTCTGAAGTGGGCGCCTGAGGCTCCCTCTTTGAGTCCACGTCAGAGGGATGGTCCCTTCCCCACTCCCACCATCATGATCTTCAAGGTCACCTGCAAACTCCTCATCGTCACTCTCAGCCTAGACGAGACAGACTGCCCTGCCCTGTTCCTGGGCTCCAGGTGATGAGGCCTGACACGAGGCAAGATTCAGCAGGACAAGAGGACACCAAGCAGACGGCTTCTCCCTTCACTGCCCGCATCCCGTGACAAGAGAGAACACTGCTCAGAGCCCCCAAAAAAGGACGGTGCGCCTTGCGGACACACAGGAGGGAGTGGAAAAGGAGAACGAGCAGGGTTGTAACATCTCTGCACTGGCTAGAAGCGGCTTTAGAATGAGGATGTTGTCGGGATCTTGTATTTTCTCTAAATTATCCAATTTAAATTTTAAACAAATCCTACACATGGTTTCCTTAATGACATGCTGTGAACACACTGTGGTCCGGGGTGCAGGTGGGGCTCCCTGGCGTCTGCCCCGGGGTGGTGGCTCCATCAGTCAGGGCCCCGTCCTCCGCGTCCTGCCCTCCCAGTCACACAGCGCCTGATACACAGTAGGTCTCCACAGATACTCAGGACGTGAACAAAGGCATGAGGGCCGCCGCCTGACTGTGACCTTGGCCATCACCACCTGCAGGGTCCCCTCCTCTGTAAACGGGTTCCTGTCTGCCCACTGCACCCACTGCTGTCGTGGAACATGGCACACCCTGCCCCCAGCCCCTGGGACAGGGGCCACCAGACCCAGCCCTCCTGCCACTCCTCCACAGGCACCGCTGACCGCCCTTCCCCGGCCATCTCGGGCTAAGTCAGGAGGACTGCCTGGAACGCGCACATACCTTCGGCACACTTTGTGGGGCAAGCCCGGCATCTCCTCGGGGTAGAAGCCCTCGCCACAGGCTGGCACACATTTCCAGTCTTGGAAGTGGAAGTTTGGGGCACAGTGAATACATTCTTCTCTGCTGGGCCCTGAGGGGTACGGGAAAAGCAGCAGAGGTCAGGGACCGCCCACCTGCCCATCACGTGTCCTAGACCTGCTGCGGCACCTGTGAGATCCAGGTCCTATTCAGACGCCCCAAGGCCACCACACAGCTAGATTCACCCAGGTGCCACTGTGCATCTGCACTGGGCCCGCCTCGCCACTCCTGGGAGGTGGGCCTCACGCCCACATCTCACGGATGGGGACACGGAGGCTGCACCAAGCTCAGCACACCTCCCGCTGCCCAGGCCGCGTTCATCGGCCCTGATTCCAGGTGCCTCCTTCCCCAGCAGGCCTGGGCCCGATTCCGGCTAGGGCGGCCACAGGTAGCTCCGAGTTCTCAAAATGTGGCCTGGCCAAACACACTTACACACTGGATTTCAGAGACACAGTTAAAAAAAAGAAAAGTGAAATAGCTCATTGATTTTTTAAATACTGATTACATGTAGAAATGATAGCATTTAGATACATGGGGTTAAATAAGATGTTATAATTATTTTCACCTGTTTCTTGAGAGAACTTAAAGCTGCATCAGTAGCTCACATCGTATTTCTAGTGGACAGAACTTGGTGTAAGAATATGTGGGAAAAGGGTAAGAAGAGGTTTGGGGGCCTGGGGTTGACAGGTATTTGGTGTGAAGGATCAGGACTCTTTCAACAGAGGAAAAACAGCTAAGAGCTTATGGGGTGAGACGTGGGGACCAGAAAAGGCAAGAGCTCTGAACAAAGGGTCAAGAGTCGTGAAGGAAAATCTGCAGCCCAGTCAGGAGGCCTCATCAGCCTGGGCAGGCAGTGGTCCAGAGAGAAGAAACCGTGCTGTTCATCTGTCTGTCTGCCCATCTGTTCATTCACTCAGGCCAACGACAAGTCAGTGCTGGGTGTGCACTTCCGTGTCAGAGTCCCCAAGGAGCATCAGAGAGGCAGCGAGGTGGCCACCGGCTGACGGTTTAGAGGATCGAACTCAGGGAGAAACCATCTCAGATGCTCAAGGAGACCACAGCCCCTCCTTAGACCTCCCCCCACTGTGGTCCTGTCTCGGCTTGAGGCCTGACAGCTGAGGCACAGGTGGAGTGAATTCTGGACCTACGGGGGGCCTCTGGGCTGCGTCACGGGAGGACCCCTTTGCAGACGGGGGTCCGCAGGGCGGCTCTGCAAGTCCCGAGGTTTGGTGCTCCGGCAGCTGATTTCTGCTCTCAGAACCATAGCTTCCAGCTTGGAAGGGGATTCTGAGCTCGCCCAGGACTGAGCGTGAGGCAGAAGCGGGAGCCCTTGGCGTTCCAGGGCCTTCACGAGGAGTAGCTGCCCACCTGCCTGGGGTCTCCACGGGGGTGTCCTCCCTCTGTTGCAGCAACGCAGTGGGAGAGCCGCCCCACAAATGCGTCCAGTTTATGTCCTTCTGGATGGACGGCTGCTCTTGTGCCCCAGCCCCCATCACTTATCTGCAGGGAGCATCTGGCGTTGGTGCCCCCCACAACCCCCATCACCCATGTCCTACTGCCCGGGCCGCCAGGGTCCCCAGTGCCTTAGGAGCTTCCGCAATGGGAAATAGCACTCATTCTTGTTTGCTCCTAGTTTAATGCTCAATTTGCTAAACTTAAAAGCGGATGGGGCTTCCCTGGTGGCGCAGTGGTTGAGAGTCCGCCTGCCGATGCAGGGGACACGGGTTCGTGCCCTGGTCTGGGAAGATCCCACATGCCGCGGAGCGGCTGGGCCCGTGAGCCCTGGCCGCTGAGCCTGCACGTCCGGAGCCTGTGCTCCGCAACGGGAGAGGCCACAACAGTGAGAGGCCCACATACCAAAGAAAAAAAAAAAAAAGAAAGCGGATGAAACCCGTTCAGCTGGGGTTAGAAGAAGAGAAAGCCCTGGGATGGGCGGAGGCGCCGGCCCCGCGACAACGCGAAGGTGCTCAGTGCTGCTGAGGCGCGCACTTCAAAGTGGCAGGTTTTATGTCCCGGATCTTTAACCACGGTGACAAAAGCTGAGTCAACACAGATCTCCTAGAGCAACTACTTTCACTACTACTAAACATTGTGAACTTTGTAATTCAAAGTCTCTCAGGGATTCCATTTAGTCACAAGGCTTTCCAGGCGTCAGACACTTGAAAAGCGGACACAGATCATAAAAATCGTAGCAAAACGGGTGATGCTTAGGCGGGATCCACTGCATCATTTGTGGGGCCCAGGACAAAGTGAAAACGCAGGGCCCTTATTCAAAAGGCAGGAAAAACGTGCTATGAAGGGTGCTAAGATACAAAACGCGTTCCTTTCTTCTGCCATCTCTCTCTTGACCTGTCATGGTGGTTTTTATCTGCTATTTCATGTCGTGCTCCCCTGGGTGAGGACCGGCCCTCATGCCCCTCAACTCCACACACATGTGCCCCACTGGCCGCTAGCCGCTGACCCACGCGCCATGCCCTGCCGGGTCCCCTGCACCCACCCAAGGCAGATGGGTTCCCCAAGGGATCACATCATCTGTGCCAGAGGCTCTGGGTACTTGGACCAGGATGGGATGAGGCTTATTCCTACTGAGTCACCACTGAGTGTCCCAAGGTACTGCTGGCCTGGGGTGGGGACAGATGCCACCGTGCTCCATGCTGTACTCGTGCCTAACCACGACTCTCCCCACACCGCACCCAGGCCCCTCACAGGCGGGGAGCAGCAGTGGTCACGGAGTGGGAGCTGGGAGGGGAGGGCCAGGTGGCCAGGGGCTCCCGACAGGGACCGTGACAGGCAGCGAGAAGCCTTCAGCGCTGGAAGTGGGTGGGGTCCCTGTCCTAGCAGTGGCCGGGGTGTATGCACACGTCCCAGAGCATACAGGGAACCCAGGCAGGCGGGTGTGGGGAGCAGGGGAGACCCCTGGACAGCCTGACCCCTCAAGTGACAAAGAGGTCTCTGGACTGAGTGAGAGACTGTTTGCCAACAGGCAGTGTGGGGATGCAGACAAAGGAAACCACACTGAATAAATGAAATCAAAAGCATTATAAAGCTACACGCCTGAATTTTATGGATTCAAGTGCCTATGAAATTTAAACAAGTGACATCGGCGATGCTCTTTCAACCTGGGCTAAACAATGAGGCAAAGAAACCATGAAAATGACAGGCCATGAGGCAAACGCTAGGAAAGGCTGCTGGGCCCCTGCCTTGCGGGCGGTTGTCCCAGGAGGGGGCCCCAGGAAGGCACATCTTCCAAAGGCCTTGAGAGTGCTGGTCTTTGCCATGGCATGTCCACTTCGGGTCAAGGGTCAAGGGCCCCTTGACATGGGCTCACGTGGCCACACTGGGACGGCTGCCCCGTCCTGCCATGCATCCCGGGACCCATGTTACGGCATCAGTGACTCAGCAGAGACCTAATTCTTACAGCGTTACTGCAGCAAAAACTCAACCTGATATGGGTTTCTTAGAACAAGGACCAAAGCGCTGGGTCAGGAAGGAGGATCAAGAGGAGAAGATTCAATCAGAAATACGTATGAGTCCACAAGCTCAGAATGTGCTACAATATCCCGGTGCCAACAAGTCTGCAGCACGAAACCCAACAAGACAATCATTCTCTGCGATTCTGCATAAAAACTGTGCCTGGAAGGCAGCTATGCTATCATCTCTGTGGGAAATTACAATACACATAAAATTGTTTACAGAGATCTTTTCCTCTTTGAGTAAAATGTTCAAAATAGGGAAGATAGGTACAAGGAACTAAGGCTATGTTTTAAAAAGCCTTCTTCCTTCACCACGGGAACTTGCCCAGCCTCTCCCCGAAGAATCGATGAATCGCGAAACTCCGGCACTGCTACCCTGAGGCAAGGGCTGGGTTCCATGCAAGAGCTCACTAGCAGTTAGCAACCCTTCCCGGCCTGAAAACATCCCCTACCTGGCTGGGCTCCTGACACGGGGAAACCCAGGCTGCTCCAAGTGGGCCCTTGTGGTTTTTCTTTTTTTTTTTTAATTTTAAAAATTGTGGTAAAATGTACGTAACATACAATTGACCATACTAACCATTTAAGCATACAGTTCAGTGGCATTAGGTGCATTCATATTGTTATGCAAGCATCACCACCATCCATCCATCCCCAGATACTTTTTATCTTCCCAAGCTGAACCTCTGTACCCATTAATCACTATTCCCCTTTCCCCTCTCCCAGCCCCTGGTAGGGCTTCTGGGATTTAATGCTGCAACACCCACGGAAGCCCGCAAGTCCTAGGGCTTTCTGGGTTTCCAGGTAGTCAGCCCACCGGCCTGGGGAACTTGGGCTCCAAATGTGGCCCCCGCAGGCCGTGAACTCACCCACGCAGGTCTGGCAGGTGGGATGGCATTCCCCGCACCTGATCAGCTCAGAGTCAAAGTAGGTGCCTGGCTCACAGTCTGGAATGCAGCTGCCCCGTGCAAGGCTGTTGAAAAGGAAAAAAAGGCAGTCTTTTATATCCTTTCCAAAGCTCTAATTCAGTTATGATTTGCCCTCAAATGTCTTTCATGAGAGGAACTGAAGGTTGCTAAAGCACAGCTCTCGGAGTCACTTAAGATTCTGAACTAATGAAAGCGGCAAAGCTGTCCTGCAGCACCTCGAGGCCGGCTGGAAGGGACACCCTGGCCTGGAAGCAGAGTGTCCGCCTTCTGGTGGCCGGTGGTCCCGAAGCTCCTTCCCAAAGCCCCGTGGCCTCGGTCCCTGTGCGGGAGGCTGTGCCCTCCACGCCTTCTGTGCTCTTCTGCTCTGTGACACCTTCTCTTCACTGACACCAATCACGCTAGAACCCAAGGCCCACGAGGAGAACTCGAGCACGGGTGGGTCACCCCACTGGCTCGGTCTCACTGGGCGCAGCCCTGGGTGAAGCCTTGGCATCTGTGATGCGTGAAGGAGGGTGGCAGCAAGACTGACCCTGAGTCCCAGTGGGCTCCTGCCTCGCCCTTGCTGGAAACCTTCTGTGCTTCACAATGAACCCGAGATAAAATCCGCTCCTGGGACCCAGCAGCCCTGCCTGCTGTGGCTCTGGCCTTCCTCCCTCACCTCGCTCGGCCAGGCACTGAGGGCACGGCTTCTGGAGCAGACCCTCTGCCCCTTCCCAGCCGTGCAGCCCCGACCCCGGGCAGGCCAGCCAAGCTTCCTGCCCCTCCGTCCCCTCAGCTGTCCACCAAGGCTCCTGCGTGGTCAGGTTACTTTGAGGACAGAACCCTGGCAGGTGTCGGGCACCCAGCAGTGTGAATGGGTGTTGGCTGCCATGGCTGCTTCAGTTCCCAAGCTCACTGCTGCACATGTTGTAGATGGATCTGCTGCCTGACACATCAAACACATGCCGCAGGGTCTGTGAGAGCCAGAGGCTCCTGCACTTGGTGGGGGGGATGTCGGTGGGGCTGAAAGCATCTCTGTATCAAGGCGGAGGCCGACCCCAGGGCTCCCTCTCGTCCCGGCCCCCAGCTGTTCAGTCAAGTCTTTACTAATGGATGTTCCCAGCCTAAAGAGATGGACGCACAGCTCGGCCGCCCTCACTGCTTCAGTGGGACCGATGATTTGAAGCCACAGCTAAAGAGGATACTGGGCAATAAAAGGAAGCTTTCTGTGGATTACGGCTGATGATGTTTCAGTGTCCACAGTTCTCTCTGATTGCTCGTCACGGCTGCACCGCTGCCTCCACCTGGGGGGCTGCTGCCCGAGAGGCATTTTCTCCCCAGGACACAGCTCCTGGCCCGAGCATCTGACCTCCTCTCCCCTATCTGACCCACAGGAGCAGGGATGAACCGCCCCCTCCAGCACATCCCCACTGGGAAACAGGCTCCAGGGAGCTGGAAACACAGTGCCTCCCACTGACACCCTGAGTCTCTGGCCTGGGTGGGGGGCCCTGCAGGAGGGTCCCCACAGCCGAGCTCCCAGGCCCCAGTGGCGGCCAGCTGAACCTCTCCGCCTTTCCCTTCTGAGGCTCCCCTTCCTCCACATGTCACTCCTCCACTCCTCATCCTGCCTCGTCCAGCTCCCTGGGTCAGAGAACAGGCATGACGTGTGACTCTGGGGTCCTGTCCCCCTTCCCTCCCCCGACTCCCAGGAGCGTGGGGCAGTGGACCCTCTTCTCTCAGATCCCCTGATCTGGAGGGGGTGGGGCGGGCTTGGGGAACCTTAGTCATGCTGCTCCCGGAAACTGTTCCTCTCCCCGTTAGTAAGATGTGAAGAAGAATGCCATATATGTCACATACGTCCTAGGTTGCTGTGAAGATTAAATGAGGCAGTGTTGGTGAGAGCAGCTGGAGTAAAATGCTGGTTTTCTTCCTTCACTCCTTACTGCAAAAGAATTCAACCCTGGGGGGTTGAATTTGAGGGGAGGGGAGGCTGCAGGAACGGCAGCATCCTTGTCCCCTGGGGGCCAGGTAGAAACGCAGAGTCACAGAGCTGCTGGGTCAGCACCTGCATTTTTTTTTTTTGTGGTACGCGGGCCTCTCACTGCTGCGGCCTCTCCCATTGCGGAGCACAGGCTCCGGACGCACAGGCTCAGCGGCCATGGCTCACGGGCCCAGCCGCTCCGTGGCATGTGGGATCTTCCCGGACTGGGGCACGAACCCGCGTCCCCTGCCTCGGCAGGCGGACTCCCAACCACTGCACCACCAGGGAAGCCCAGCACCTGCATTTTAACAAGAGCCCGGTGATGCCCCCTGGCCCCGCCCCTGCTCACTGCCCTCGCTGACCCGTCCCTTTCTTCCTTAAAGTGCAGGCCCTGGTTCAAGACTGGATCGCGGGAGGGTCCACAGCACAATTTTGCACAGAATGATTTCTAAGCTTCTAGATGATAACTTCAAGGAAGAAGTAATGTATATTTGGTGGCAGTAAACAGGCTACACCAACATTCCAAAATATTCTAGTAAAAAATCATTAGCTCGGTCAGATGCTTTTAAAGGAGGCGTGGGCTGAGCTTGGTGGAGCCGGGCAAACCAGGAATTTACAGAGTATCTCCAGAGAGCGAGCCCCCTCTGCCCTTCCCTCAGTCATCCAGACTGGGAAGGAAACTGGAGTGAGTGGGGCTCGGTGCCTAAGAAAGGGAGCTCTGTGCTTTGTTAGAACTCCCCACCCTTCCAGCCGCCAGCCCTACTTTCTATGAGAGGATCCACTCTCGCTCTTACCAATTCTCCAAATGTTGCATAAAATGTAGACATTTTCCCCATCCTCTGACTTTCTACCATAAAAACCAATCTCTAAGTGGAAATCTGATTTTGACTCGGAATCTGTATCCTGAAAGGCTTTGGGCCTCTGAAATTTTAGCTTTTAGGAAAAGGAAGCAAACACTTGGTAAATCAATGACAGACACTTATACCAGCATATACCCATGGCCGCGCCTCAGGTCTGAAGGGAGGGTCTTACCTGAATCCTTCTTTACAGACAGTACATTTCTCTGGTTCATCCATGCACTTCTTACAGCTTGGGTGGCATTTAAGGCAGTTTTTCTGATCTGGAGAAAAATAAGAGGAGGAAAAGAGAAGAGGTGGGAAGAGTGGATATGGATCAAACCCGGGCGAACGAGACTCGGGTGTTCCAAGGTGGGGCTGATGGAACGGCCGTCACTGGCGTGGTCTCTAGACAGGTGACACAGTGACCGACTGCCAGAGGCATGTGGAGACCGCGTGCCCAGGTGTCAGGTCACAGGCCTCGCACCTCTTTTCTGGAGTGAAGTCCTCACACGACCTTGAGGCTTGGAGGTGGGCCCTTTCCAGAGGAAACGTGCTCTAGTCCTGCATCTTCCCCCGGGACTGGAGCCAGCGGAGCAGAGTTTAGCGAGGTGCCAGTCTTCCTAAGTGTGACCGGTGGGGCCTGAGGGTTCCCCTGAGTGACCCCACCCACCCAGGGCCCTCACAGGCGTCTTTACTGACACGTTGGCGGTCACCTGCACAGACATGAATCTCTGACACCCACCACACCTTGGGGAAGCCCTGGGTCTCAGTGATTACCCAGGTCACTCATCCTGGCACCCGGTCAGCACCACCCTGTGCTCGGAGCCCCACAGGTGGCATCACACACACGCTGCAGGGGCTCAGCGAGGGCGTCTGGGGGTGACTCTCGGGGTGACCGAGGTGGCTGGTTTTTGCCCGGGGTGGGGTGGGGGGTAGGGATGGAGGAGCCTCTGCCCCAAAAACAGGTCTGGTTGCAGCCCAGGGCAGGTGTTTGCAAAGCCTGTGAAACGTGTCTTGCATGACTCTGTGTCCCCTCTAAAGAGTGTGGTTATTCCATGGCTTTATATGTCCTTAAGGATCCCCGGCTCCTTCCCCAGAGGAGTGAGAGCAACGCTGTGATGGGACCCCTCCTGCAGGATGCGGGCCAGAGGCGAGCTCTGGGAAGCGCTGCCCCCTCCCTGCACAACAGCCAACACGTCATCTGAAAACTGTCCTCCGTCAATTTAACCCAAGCCCTCTCTTTGGCCTCTTCCAGGCTGAGGTGAGTGTTCAAACCTTGGCATGAGGTCCCAGCCCCACAGCCCAACCACTCCACTTCCCAGGACAGGCAGGATGGCAGGACGCCTGCGCTGCTCTGAGTTCACTGGGTCATTGCTAGCTGTGGGCCCTTTGGCCTCGCTCGGCTTCACTTCCCCACCTGCAAGGTGCGGAAATCGTCGCCCACCTCTTGGGAGTGTGGTCACTATGTGAAGTGCACAGCCAAGAACCACCTGTCCCCCTGAGCCCAGTTATGCCCGGCAGCAGGCTCCTCTTCATTCGTGGAGACCCGCAGACCTCCCTGGCCTTAGACCCCGGTTTCAGCTTAGCGGCTCTTGCTGGGAGGGGCTTTCACCCAGTTTCAACCACCAAGGCCACAAGCGGGTGCTGGGTCCCAAACCCCGCCCAGCGCCCACATCCACTGCTCCAAGAGAGACCGCAGGGCCTACCTGGAAGCCTTTCTATTTGGATGTCTGAAATCGGTCTGAGCCTGAGAGCCACTGGCTCAAACTACCTCCCTGTCCATCCTGAATAATGGACACTGACCTACAGAAGTGTGACAACCCCAGACTACGGGGGCTCCATTTCTGAGTCACTTTGAACCACCCTGGCCAGGTTTTGGGTGTGAACTGCTATCCACTAACAGGGTCCAAGGGCTTTGATTTCATCCTCTCTCCCTCCCTCCCGTTAAGGGTCCTTTCTCAGGACAGAGTACACAGGAAGCAGAGGGTGGGGAAAATTCTCCCAGGAGAGGGGACCCCAGCCCAGAGCGGGGCTGACTCATTTCTAGGCCCGGGGACACACACTTACTTTCATCAGCATAAAATCCAGCGGGACAGAAGGTCACACAGGTGTTCACCTCCTGATGGTGGTAGAACCCGCGGCGGCAAGACAGGCACTGGGTGGGGCCCCGGCCGGAGCAGGTCTCGCATCCCTTGTGGCAGCGGCGGCAGCGGCGGGCTGCCATGTCCCCAAAGTAGCCCAAGGGGCACATGCTCACGCACTTCCTGTGGGAGCAGATCGGGAGAGGACTTTCCTACTGGCCCCAGCCCCACGCCTACCCGGCAGCACGAGGGTCAGGCCAAGGCAGGGCAGCTGGCTGGGAGGGAAGCCTTAGCTGCCTCCCCGTCAGCAGACTCTGAGGAAACACAGGCCCCAGGGCAGAGGTAAACCATTAATGCCCCTGAGAAGTTCCTGATGCAGGGGAAGGTTGAGGGCTTGCATGGGAACCTGGGACTCCTGCCCTTTCAAAGGTTCCCCGAGGGGGGCGGGGGCACTCGCAGGTTGTGCTTGGCTTCCTTGGGCAACACCATGACGGTATCTGACTTTTGGAACGTTCAGCTCCGGCAAAACCCCACTGACAGTGCCCACGGGCAGTGAGCGGTGTCCAGGCTGTGTCCGGCCAGCAGAACAAACGTCTTCGCCCAGCGCAGGGAGGTTGCGGCTGTGTCTGGGCCCCGGGGACACCGTGAGAGTCCCAGACGCACCCCTGCCAGAGCCCTGGTGGGTGTGTGCTCCCCAGGAGGGCTGCACCCCTACCCGGCGCTCAGGGCTGGGGGCTTCTCATTCACGGCCGACTGTGCTGACTTTTAGAACCGTACTGGCCCTTAAGATGACGTTTGTCTGCAGTTCCCAAGTGGTTGTCATGCTCAATACGACCCATTTTTGTTTAGCAAATTGGAGAGAAAAAAGTTTATAAGCACAGACAAAACAATGCCACGGCCTCTGAGTTCTCATGGTCACGAGTTATTTATGAGATGAGAATAAAAGGTTACCAAAACATAAAATTCCCCAGCAGTGACCCTCAGGGTGATCTCCTTTCCGGGGTGTTTGGTTAATTCCTAAGTATGCTGCCAGGCTGCGGGGGTGGAGAACACAGCTTGGCCACCTTAGCGGGACGCTGGGCGTCTCCAGGACACGCAGGGGAGGCCCAGCCCTTTACCTGCTGGTCTTGACGCTCCCCAGGCTGAAGTGGACACAGTTCAAGCACTGGTCTGCGTTAGGGCCATCACAGCCTTTGTCACCACACTCCGGATGGCACACACCTTGAAGAAACAAGCATTTCCTTTCACCCATAGAGATGCTTTCTCAATCACGTCCAGTCTCCTAGGACCCCATGTCCGGGTCTCACAGGCCCCTGCTGGGCCAGAGCACCCACCCCTGTGGGACCCGCCGCAGCTGGGAGCCAAGCCTGGCTCTGGGCTCCAGTGTCAGAGGGTCTGATGACTCGAGACAGGCAGGACAGCCGGTGGTGGGTGAGGACCCGGGTGGGTGAAGGCGGGCATTGTGAGGTTCTAGAGGAGCAGCCATGGCGGGGCGGGAGGGGCAGGGGACAGCCGCGTGCAGCGTCCTCCCCTGCAGCGGAGTTACAATGCTGGACCAGCCACCAACTCTGATTTCCATCGTGAAGGAAAGCATGAAGATCCAACGGAAATTAAGCGGGAGAGGCTGGAACAGAATGCGCCACGTCCCTCACACGCGGTGAAGGAGGCAGGTGGGTTTCCATGACCCTGGTGGGTCTGGGGTGGGCGGGAGCTGAGCCCTTTTCAGCTCCCCTCTCTCTCACCCTCAGAGGGGGGCATCCTGTCTTCCCTCGATCCCCAAATTCTAACTCTGGAAGCCTGTGTGGTGTTGTCAAAGCGACGGAGAAAAACGCAGGAGCTGGGGGACCCCATCGGGCGCCCTGTCCTAGGTCTCCCCTCCACCTGCGCCTCGGGGAAGAGCCCAGTTTGACTGGCTCTTGCCCTCAGGCCGGGCGGCCCCTCCATAGGTGTCCTCTTCATCTGGGGGCCAGGGCCGGTGCTGTGCTGGGACCCCCACCTCCCTTGGCCCCCGACGCTCTTCCTCCTCTGGGAGATGGTTCTGGAAAGCCTCCCCATGTGGGGAGGGAGGGGCCCGGCGGGGCGTTATGAAAGTTTTTGAGTCCTTGGAAGAAAAAACAACCTTCTACAAGGTTTTAGTTGTTGGAGGGGGTGGGGAGTGAGTTCAGAAGCAAAGAAGAGGTGCCTTGCCAGCCACCAGAGTTTCCTGGGGACGTGAGGGAAAGACAAAAGTCCCCATTCTCTGCCACCCACAATGGGTCTTTGCTGAGGGGCACAAAGCCCTCTTCATTCCTCTTTAAAGGGCCTCCAGACCTTCCCAGTGTTAGACTCAGCTGTATTTGGCTTCCCTCCCTGAAGGTTTACCGCTGCTGACATTTCCAAGGTTCTCACTGTGGGTCCCCCCGTGAACCCCTTTCAGAGCCGCGTGCATCCCTGGGGATGCACTAGACGCTCCTTGTGGTCTGGGTGGGGGAGGGCGCTGGCGTCGTGCTGTAGCACAAGGTGCCCCCACCCCTTCCCAGGCCCCAGGCTCACTCGATTTGGGGATCGATTCTCATTTGACTTGGTCCTTGTTCGCCTCATCCCAATCCACTTGTGGTGACAGTGGCTGAGAGCGTCCCCTACTCGTGTCCACCTCACAGCTGACCCCTTCACAGGGCAGCTGTCCAGATGGCTCTGGCGAGGCGCCTGTCACACCCCTGAGCCCCCCCAGGAGCCCCGCTCCCCTTCCATCCTGGGATCCTTACTGTCCATGGGCAGCTGGACTCCCCTCTCCGGCCCTCACTCACCTCCTCCCCTTTACTCCTTGTCCCGGGGAGAGCTGGCCCTCCACCTGCGTGCCCCCATCACAGCGCTGCTTGGCGCCCCCGCTGCCGGACAGAGGGCGGGGCCCCGCGCCCCCCACCCCCACTGTCTGTATGACCAGCTCCGCCTCCGAAAGGCACGCAGCCTCCCCTGCCAGCTCACCCCTCAGCTGCGCATGAAGCTCCACAGAAAGCATCAACAGGGACTTCCCTGGTGGCGCAGTGGTTAAGAATCCACGCTCCCAATGTGGGGGGGCCTGGGTTCGATTCCTGGTCAGGGAACTAGATCCCACATACGTGCCGCAACTAAGAGTTTGCATGCCACAACTAAGGAGCCCGCCTGCTGGCAACTAAGGAGCCCACCTGCTGCAACGAAGACCAGACGCAACCAAATAAATAAATAAATATTTAGAAAGTCTTCGAGAATCATTGCCCCACCTCAAAACCTCCCCTACCCAGCACCCTCTCTTTGTCCCTGGGCTTCTGCACCTGGGCTTGTTTGTCTGTGACTCGGAGGGCTTCCCCCAGGGCACCAACGAGATGCTCCTCCACACTGCTCCCCCTCCCCCCGAAGCCCTCTCCTCCTCTCCCTCCACGCCACACCCCTCCTGCCCCCTTCCCCTCTCTCGTTCTTTCCTGCTGTGACTGGTGCACCCGCCCCACTTGCCCCTGAGATTGCACGGAACTTCCCCAAGTGTCGGAAACACACCTTAGTCCCAGAGACCCCTCTAACCACCTGGGCCAGGCTTGGGAAGGACTGAGCGGCCTGGGCTGCAGAACAGTTAGAGTGAGATTCCAGGACAGTGTGAGGTTAGAGTCATAGCAGATTTTAAGGGGGGGAAAAAAAATCAGTCCTTTATTAATAATTACTGAATCTTGCCACAGTTCATAAATCACAGGGGGAAACAGAGCAGATTAGTCCATACATAATTCAATGCTCCATTTTAAAGGCACGGTAGAAGTTTAAAATTGAATCGGCCATAATTTATGCTTGATCTGTATTGGTGGAGTTTCCCATTTTGTTACTTTTTTTCTTCAGAAGCTATTAGATAACTCAAAGCATCAATATTCTTAGATCTCACCCATCATTTATCAAGTAGCTGTAACATTTAGCTAAGGAAAATATGCCCAACCAGAAAGGCTCCGTTTCTCACAAATCACTGGGATGGTTCAGAGAGAAAGGAAGAGCTTGCCACCTAGCTCGCTGACCGAAACTGTGCCCAGCCCAGCAGCTGGGAACGTCCTCTGCATGCTGCCCCAGCTCTCAGCGTGGAGCGCTGCAGGCCCAGAGCCCAGGGCCACCCTGCAGGGGCGCAGCAGGAGGAAGAGGATTTGCAACGAGGCATCTGTACTTCCTGTGAGAGGCTTGAGCTGCTTCTGGCAGCATCAGTGTCCTCTGACATCAGGTCTGAGACCCTGTGCTGGGTCTTTCTGCCAGGCCCCTGGGCGGGTCAAGATCTCCACTGCCAGCAACTCCCGGCTGTGCTCACTCAGCCCAACCGTCCTGGGCTCCCGGTAGCACCCTGGTCCTTCCCACATTCTGGTCACAAGGACTGAAAGTGGATGGACTAGGGAGAGGGTCAGGAGGCTGAGACTGAAGACGGGGGCCCCTGATGAAAAGGGGGCGCCCCAGAGGAGTGTCACTAGCCAGGCGGCAAGTCCCCGTCTGGTTGGGCATAGGGAACCTCTATTCCCGGCCTGGGAAGGTTGGCGAGTACTTACTGGTTTGAAGCATACTTACTGGTCTGTAAAATATTAGGAGAGCCATGGGAGGGAGGAGCTGTGAGTGCAAATTACCATCATTATTACGACTCCCAGGAAAGAGGAAGGCCTACAACCCAAGCCCCGCCTTCCGCCAGGAACAGCCTGCGTTTCAAGAGCTACACTGGAAAAATGAGCATCTCCTCTGGCCTCAGGTTCATTACCTGTGTAGTCCTCTTCGTCCTCGGGAACCTCGGCCTGGGACGGCGACAGGGCGGCCTTGGGTGGCTCTGGCTCTAGGGCCGAGAGCTCCAGCATCCGGGAGCGAGACTGATGGGCGCTGAAGGTGGTATAGGGGTGCTGGGCCGTGCCGTACAGGATGAGGCTCCACTCTTTCAACTTCCCTGGAAGGCACCGGACCCAGACTCACCCGAGGGTCAAGAGCCTCCTTCGGGAAGCCCTTGATGTGCTCTGGCCCCTTGGTCTGGCCGGGGGCCTCTGTCACCCACGGAAGTGCCTGGCCCTGCCGGGCTCAGGTTCCCGAGCCCTCCCCCCGACAGCAAGGCTCTGAGCCCAGCATCTTCCCCTCCTCGTCATCTGGGGACCAGGAACCCACCTCCTGCCCAGGCCACAGTCTCCACCCCTGGGTCTCGGCACAGCCTCCCCTCATTAGCCCCCACCCCCATGATGGGCAGCAGCCCCCTCCCCATCTTGGAACATCCAGTGGGTGGATCTGGGGCAGGGCCTGGCACTCAGCCTTGTCCCATTGTCCCCAAATGTGGTAACTGGGTTATGCTGAGGAGTCCTGCTTTTTGGATGCTCCATCCTGTGTCTTGGGCTCCTTCCATCCCAGTTAGTCCAGGGCAGGTGGGCAAGTTTGGCGGGTGGCACAAACCCAAATGTCCACCGAGGCTGGGTGTGGGAAGGACCTCCTCAGTAATGGGAGGATGCCTGGCACCCACGCTGGTCTGGGTGTGGGGGGAGGACAGAGGCTCATGGGAGAGCAGCCGGCTGTGCACAGGGATGGGGCAGGGGCAGCAGGCGCCACCCCCCGCCAACCGCCGTCTCCACCAGGGAGCGAGGCCCGTGCTGCTCAGTATCCTCAGGTGAGAACAGAAGGGGAGACCTGGCCTGCAACGTCCAGGTGGGATCCCTGATGCAATAAAGCACACAAGGGCCGGGTTGGACGTGACCATGGGCCATGGGCCGGCTTCCCTTCTCACCACGGTGTGCCCAGCGTTTGGGACTGTGTGACCATGTCGGGGAGGTCACTGCTGTCACTGTCACTCAGGCGAGGGGCCGAAGGCCAGTGTGACCTGCCGGAGGACATGTGGCTTGTGCTAATGGGCTCCGGCTGCCCCAGCCCCTCAGGGTTTATTGAGAAGTGGATCAACCCAACACGAATCGATTCTGTCCCACGGCGGGGCACAGAGCAGCACCGTTTCTTTTTAACCATCATCCTGGCCAACTAAGGCCCCAGGTCCTGAAAGCCTGCAGCCTCCGAAGCCCCCGAGTCAGGCCCTGCACTGCTTGGGCCTCTCCTGGCCTGGCCAGGATTGAAGGATGCGGGTCCTTTGACTTAAAAGAACCGTCCTGGGGCTTCCCTGGTGGTGCAGTGGTTGAGAGTCCGCCTGCCGATGCAGGGGACACGGGTTCGTGCCCCCGTCCGGGAAGATCCCACAGGCCGCGGAGCGGCTGGGCCCGTGAACCATGGCCGCTGAGCCTGCGCGTCCGGAGCCTGTGCTCCGCAACAGGAGAGGCCACGACAGTGAGAGGCCCGCGTACCGCAAAATAAAAAAAAAGAACCGTCCTGAGCTGTCTCCCAGGACATGGTCTCCAAAGGGCCGGCCTCTTTCCGTGGCCATTTCCCTAACGCAGTGAGCGACGCTTACAGGAGAAGTATCGATACTTCACACGGGTGCAGGTGCAGCAAACACAGGGCCTGTCTATGAACGATCATCCGTTCTCAGCTCCCGGGGATCAAATTAAAGCTACATTTCAAAACCACAAAGGCTCTGGACATTTGAACTGCTGAGTGATGAACTGTCATTAAGGGGGAGCATAATAATTACAGGGCAGGGAACAAGGGCTCCGTGAGCTATAATTTGAATCGGGATTTATTTCAATCCTATATGATGTCTCCAAAAACACCCACCAAAGGCCTCATCACTAAAATTAGATTCTTATTTTCGGATAGAGTTTTGGTAGGACAAACAAGAGAAGAGGGGCTGATCCAAGCTCGGGATCGGCACACGCCCTGGGTGAGCGGGGAGAGCAGAATGAATTCCAAGAAACCAGGGAGCAGATCCTACGAGTTCTCATCACAAGGAAAAAACCTAGTTTTTTTCCTCTTTCTTCGTGTGTGTCTATAAGAGATGATGGATATTAACGAAACTTATTGGGGCAATCATTTCCCAATATGTGTAAGTCACTATGCTGTATGCCTTACACGTATCAGTGCTACATGTCAATTATATCTCAATAAAGCTGAAAAGAAAAGAAAAAATTCCAAGAAACCAGCAGTAGGAGCTGTCTTGCAGGAGGGGCCCGGGACGGGAGGCTGGGGTTCAGGAATGGAAGAGAGACTTCATTTTTATTGTTTTCTCTTCTGGATTGTTTGATTAAAAAAACAAGCAAACCATGGCATATATTATATTACCTTTCACACACATGAATTTTAAAAATTGAGTTTAATTTAAAAATCTAGAAACAAATTGGTTATATGGTCAAGGAAAAAAAAAAAAAACATGAAAAAGCTGTGGTACTCAGGGCTTTTGATTTACATTTCCAAATAATCAACAAATGTGAATGGCTCAAAATCTACAAGTATAGAAGGGAACACAGTGGAAGTCCCCCTCCAGCTGCTTCCCCATCTCTCTCCACCATCTCTCTCCATGGCAACCGGTTCCCTGTTTCTTGAGCACCCTTCCGGTGGTATTTTATTCTTATCCAAGCAAATACAAGCACATACTCTGCCGTGTCCCCTTTACCAACACACCTGGGAGCACCTTCTGCACTTTTCTTTTTCCATTAAAATGCATCTTGGTCATCTTTCCATCACTGCATCAGAGAGGTATCGCGTCACTTACTTAACAATCCCCTCTTGACAGGCATGTAAACTGTTTCCAAATGTTTGCAATTACAAACAGTGCCATAACTGTGGTCACATGAGGAGGTACCTGTTGAGGTTGGCAGAGCAAGGACCCTGGAGCTGCACAGTCTGGGTTTGAATCCTGGCTCTGCCACCTACTAGCTGTGTGGCCTTGGGCAAAGTACTTAATCTCTCTGTTCTTCAGTTTCCTCATCTGTAAAGTGGGGATAATAATAATAATATCTACCTCATAGAGTAGCTTGGGGGATTAAATGACTTTAATGATGGTAAGAGATTTAGAACAGTGACTGTCATATGGGAGCTGTTGCACAGAGTTTGTTAAATAAAATCTAAGGAGCATATCATTTCACATGTGTAAGTGTATCTGTAGTCTACATTTCTAAAAGTAGAATGGTGCGGGGGAGGGGTAGGGATCAAAAAGGACGTGAATTTGTCATTTTGACAGACATTGCCAAACTGCCCTCCATGGGGTCTGGTCATATCACACTCCTGCCAGGAATATACCAACATACCTGCTTCCTCACAGCTTTGGATGGACAATCTGACAATTCAGAGAAGTTCACTTTGCATTTCTCTTATCGACACAAGAAGCTGAGCTTCTTTTCAGATGATTAAGAGCTTGACACCTTTCTGATTTGATAAAATTGGAAGCAATTTATAAATTCAGAAATTTACCAGAAATATTTGCCGGGGACAAGTGATGAAACTTCGAAGATGCATTAAAAGTGCACTTTTGGAGCTTCCCTGGTGGCGCAGTGGTTGAGAGTCCGCCTGCTGATGCAGGGGACATGGGTTCGTGCCCCGGTCCGGGAAGATCCCACATGCCACGGAGCGGCTGGGCCCGTGAGCCGTGGCCGCTGAGCCTGCGCGTCCGGAGCCTGTGCTCCGCAACGGGAGAGGCTACAACAGTGAGAGGCCCGCGTACCGAAAAAAAAAAAAAAAAAAGTGCACTTCTGCTACGTTTGTACCAAAGATTTACAAGTGGACAAAGAAGATGGTTGCTCATACTTGGTTTAAATTTCTGTTCCTTCTTTCCATCTGCAAGAGATATTCACTAGAGCCTCTGAGGGCCCAGGTGCCGTGCTGGTGAGTTAGGAGCACAGAGGAAAGAGCGGCAGGGAGACGGCAGGAGGAGGGAAGGAGACCTCCCCTGTCCTAAAAGGTTCTGTGCAGACAACCTGACCTGAGGGTAAGGTTTAGATAGTGGTGATTCTAGAGACACTTTCCTCCTTTTTTTTTGTACTTAAAGGTGAACATGTTCTTTTTACTTCTACCAAGGGAATCTCTGTTTTTTTTGCCTTCATAAGACATGAAAACAAGTATTCCAGTATATGGCATAATTTGAAGTGCAATTCTCTCCTTTTTTTTTTTTTTTGCGGTATGCGGGCCTTTCACTGTTGTGGCCTCTCCCGTTGCGGAGCACAGGCTCCGGATGCACAGGCTCAGCGGCCATGGCTCACGGGCCCAGCCACTCCGCGGCATGTGGGATCTTCCCAGACCGGGGCACGAACCCATGTCCCCTGCATCAGCAGGTGGACTCTCAACCACTGCGCCACCAGGGAAGCCCTGCAATTCTCTTTTTAAGTTATTTTTTCCTAGTTATAAAAGAGGGATGATTATTAAATACTGAAACAAATAAGAAAATAAACATCACCCCTAACTTGTCTGGCATATTCTCCTCTTGGCTATTTTCTATGCGTGTTTGTTTTTCACATAGTTGAAATCACGCAGGGCAGCAATTTCTCTTTCTTCTCTAACTCAGCATCATGTTAATCACATCCAGAAATCATTTATGCACCCATTTATTGTCTTCTCCCCTTCATCAGACCAGAGGTGTCACGTGGGCAGGAATGTGCCTTTCTTACGTGGCATACTGGCCTCAGCGTGTGGCAAGTTTCTGGGATGTGTGCTCAATAAATGTTTGCTACATTAATATACTGATATCTTAAAATATCAGCAAACTATTTCACTGTATGAATATAAGCATTTTCGTAACCAATCTCTCATAATAGGTTATAACAGAACATGTGTTTGTTTCCTTTTCATTTTTGCTTTCATACATGAATTTGCAGGAAATATCACTTGTTGCATCTGAACTACTCTCCCCAGGTAGATTCCCCGGAGAGAATACAATACTGTGAAGGCTCTTCACACATAATGTTAAGGGGCCCAATAACCCCTTCATGGAGTCTGGCATCTCATGAGGCTTGATTCAGAAACTGCCAGGTGAGAGACCACAGCGCACCTGGGAAGAAGCCCACCTGGTATACAGCCCACCTCCAACCCGCTGTC